TGAATAAAGAAAATGTATTTATACACATTAGGGCACTACTCTGCAACAAAGAAAGATAAACTTGAGTTACTCCTAGGAAAATGGATCCACCTTGAGGCTGTAAATGTTAAGTAAAATAAATTAGAAAAAATTAGAATCACAAGCTTAAATATCACATGGTTTCTCTTATATGAGAAAGCCAAATTATAAATAAAGAGCAAAATAAAAGATAATAGGAAGTAGGAGGATAGGAAGGGGATTTAAAGATGGAGGGGAGGGAAAGGGGGATAAAAAAAATAAAAAGAATTAAAATATGTACACGTACCAACTCTACACAAGGAAAGTAAACATGTTCTACAAATAAGTACTAATTAAAAAGTGATGTTTGCTGTTGGTTTGTCATAAATGGCTTTTATTAGATTGAGATAACGTCCATATGTACCTGTTTTCTTCAGCATTTTTATCATGAATGGATGTTAGATTTTGTCAAAGGCTTTTTCTGCATCTATTAAGATGATCATATGATTTTTGTCTGTGTAAGTGATGTTTAACATTTATTGATTTGCATATGTTGGACTATCCTTGGATTGTTGGGATAGATCTTACCTGGTTATGATATATAATCTTTTTAATGATATTTTTACATTTTGTGTGCCAGTATCTTGTTGAGGATTTTTGTGTTTCTGTTCCTTAAAGAAATTGGCCTGTAGTTTTCTTTTTCAGTTGAGTTCTTCTCTGCTTTTGGAATCAAAGTAATTCTAGCTTTCAAGAATGAATTTGGTATTAACTCTTTCCCTTTAAATTTCATTAAAAATTTGAGAATTGGAATTAGATCTTTCCTGAAGTTCTTGTAGAATTCAATGGTGAATCCATCCAGTCTTGTGCTTTTCTTAGTTGGTAGGTTTTTAATGACTTGCCTCCATTTTCTTTCCTGTTTATTGGTCTGTTCAGTTTTGGTAATTCATACATGTCTAGGAATCTATCCATTTCTCCTGGAGTCTCCAATTTATTGGAGTACAAGTTTTCATAGTAATTATTAATAATCTTCTGGATTTGGTGGTGTTTGTTGTGATTTTTGCCTTTTTCATTTCTAATTGCATTAATATGGCTCTTTTTTTCCTTTTGATAAGTTTGGCTAAGGATTTGTCAATTTTGTTTATGCTTTCGATGAACCCAACTTTTTGATTCATTCTTTGTAATTTTTTTGTCTTAATTTCATTAATTTCTGCTCTGATCTTTGTAACTTTCTTCCTTGTACTAGCTTTGGGTTTGAAGTGGATCGGATTGTTTTTCTACGAGGTGAATCATTAGGTTATTTATTTGGGCTTGCTGTTTTTTTCTAATGTGGGCATTCACAGCAATAAACTTCCCTCTTAGGACTGCTTTCATTGTCTCCCATAGGTTCTGATATGTTGTACTGGTGTTGTTGTTTGATCCTAGAGTGTATTACTTAATCATCATGTTATGCAAAATTTGTGTATTTTCCTCTGCCATTGATTTCTAGTTTCATTGCATTAAGATCTGTCAGTATATGTGGGATAATTTCAATTCTTTTGTATTTATTTGAGCAAGCATTATTGGCTAGTATGTGTGTTGTTTTGGAGAATTTTTATGTGCTGCTGAGAAGAATATATTTTGTTATAATAGGGTAGAACTCTGTTAAGTCTATTATATATTGAGTTGTATCATCTTTGAGTTTGTTTCTCTTTCTTCTATTATTTTGTATAATTTGGCCATCCCCTCACCCCCTATTTGGTGCTCCTTGGATCTGCTTTGGGGGAGTTAGGAGTTTTTGGAGGCATTTTATGGCTTTGTTTTCACATGGTTTGTTTTTGGTTTTGTTTTTGTGCAGACCTCTTAAGAGCAATCCTTCATGGCATTACTTGGTGGTCTTCACCTTTTTGTTTTGATATTGAGCACTGCTTCTCCCAAGATCCTTTGGGAGACAGCACATCCCAACAATCAGGAGCCATGTACCCAAAACCCAACATACTAGTTTGGAGAACAAAAATGGCCTATAATAGGTGTCATCAGTATGTACAGATTTACTTGATTTTGGTGTTCACTGTTGATGCCATACTTTGGGTTATGTTTAATGTTTTCACTGTTACAGATGCTCATGCATGGACCACCGTGTGTGTGTGTGTGTGTGTGTGTGTGTGTGTGTGTGTGTGTGTGTGTGTTTATGTATACATACATTGTGTTTGTGTATGTCTGCCCTTATTCTAGTCTGAATGTTTCAAGGTATCTCCTTAAGTGTTCTAGGTTTCTTTGAAATAGTCACCTCTTCATTAATACTTTGATCACCTTGAATGTTTAAATAAGCTAAGTATTGCTCAGCAAAAACAAGGCTATTCATTTATCAAGTGCATTAATTAAACTTATAAATCAGGGTATATTGTGTGAAAAAGAGAGAACATTAATAATTTTATGCATAAGCCAGGTGTGGTAGGTAGTGCATGCCTGTAATCTAGTACTCAGGAGGATGAGGCAGGAGAATCACTGTGAGTTCAAGGCTGCTATGTAGTGAGTTCAAGGCCACCCTCAAATACAAAGTGAGACCCTGTCTCAATAATAATAAGAAGAAGATGATGAATTTTATGAATAAAATTCTCATCGATCTCCTAATTTACAGAGCAGGAAACTTGTGCTTTCTTAATATAATTGAGGTCGTTTTTATGAAATTGTGAAAGACTCAGCCATAGTTTTCTAACAACTTTGCTTTTGACATTCTTTTCTGCTAACCAGAAAATTATTACCTTCATAAACATACTACTCTTTGGAGGTTGCTGGCTTAAAAGAGAAAGCATTTTAGCTGTAAATAAGTAGATTTGGAAATAAAAATATAGCACAAAATAATTCATTTTCTACTTGTTCCTTCTTATTTGTTTTAAATGATTAACTTTAATCATAGGTTGATTGAAACAATATTCCTCATGCTATTGTTAAAAAGTTTGCTTTGACCACATCAGTTTGTGGAACAGTGTTAGTTTCTTTTTTGTTTTTTGTTTTGGTACCAGGGATTGAACTCAGGACCTCCCGCTTGCCAGGCAGGTGCTGTGCTGCTGAGCTACATCCCTGACCCCATTAGTTGTTTTGTTTTTTTTTAATTTTGCACCCCCTCTAATAGTTTTCAGTTTATTATTGTGCATTATGACGCTCAAAAATGGGAATGTATATAGTTTTTAGTACTCCTCAAATTTAAAATGTGCCTATCTGTTAATTAACCCCTTGCAGAATTTAGAGATATTCATAATAAAAGCCTGCATGTCCAAAGCTGCTTTACTTTTTTTTCACTATGAGCATGTTTCTTAAATATTGAACCTTGGATTATACATATTTAGAAAAATATATTTTTACCATTACCACTGATGTTTTGTATTTGAATCTATTCAGAATACCTTTATGGTTTTTCTTCGAGATGGGGTTTCCTACTTGGCACCAAACTCAAGTAATCTTGCCTTGGCCTCCCAAATACCTGGGACTACAGGCATGTACCGTCACACCATTTTTTTATACCACTGGTTTGTTTTTGTTGTTCTTTAGTTTGTTTGTTTTTTGGGGGGTGGGCTTTTTTGGTTTTGGGGGGGCTTTTTGACACCAGAGATTGAACTCAGGACCTTGTGCCCAAGCAGGCACTGTTTGTTTTTGTTTTAAGACAGGGTCTTACTATGTAGTTCAGGCTGGCCTTGAACTCAATATGTAGCCCAGGCTGTCCTCAAACTCAAGGCATCCTCCTGCCTCAGCCTCTTGAGTGCTGGGATATGCCTGGGACAGCACTGGTATTGAAAGAGAAAGTGAAACTGAACAAAAGTAAAATTTAGAATGAATGTATAAATCAAATGTACTAACTTGCCTCTCCAAGGGGTCATGCCACAATCTCTGAGGTTAGCATATGAGTATGGTTTTTTAAAAAGCACTTTTAAAAACCATAAAATGGTTTCATTTTTTAAAGTGAAAAAAATTTATAATAAAGCCCATAACCCATAAAGCTCAATAGACTCCCCTTGGGTGGTGGGAGAATGCAGAGATGAAATGATTTGGGTTGTGTTTGAAGAGTGGGCAGTAGTAAGCCTCATAAAAGGAACCTAACAAGACTTACTTGGGAATTTGATGAAAAGGTGAGTAGTACAAGTTTATCAGAACATGGCTTGGGTTAAAAATAAATAAGTAAAAAGTGAAAACCTTTGGTCTAAGCAATTATTGACCACCACTTTGACACTACAGTGGTATCTGCCTTTGGCCACCTGAATTATAGCATACTGTGCAGTTTAAAAACAAGTATAGAAGGTGTGGTGCAGGGTTTACATTAGCTCCTGTGTTAAAAGTAATTCACCCTCAGTTGTAATTTATTTTCTTTTTTTAGGTTATTTTCTTTATAGAAGTCATATAAAATTCATTAAGATGGTACAAATACAGTGGCTGTAACACATCATTAATTATTATTTAGTTATATATATTTAGTTATATATAATTATTATTAGTTATATGGGAAAGGAAGGGACGATACACTGAGTAATATTCATTGTGCCCTTCTTAACCCCATTTTTTAGTTTTCTTAAACAGTGACATTATTTTTGTTTGTATTTTACAGTTTCTGAGACAGTGTTCTTAAGTACAGATTCTTTCTTCCAGAGGACAGTTTCAGTTCTCTATGTCTCTTACTTGGATTCTGCATCTGAACTTGGTTTTCAATATAGTCAAGAGACTTTTGAGAAAAATGACATTTTCTTAAATGAGGTGAGGTAACTTGGTACACACTATGTCTCTGAGTTTTATTTTTGTTTAAAAGACATAAGTCCATCATTTTTAGTAGATCAACTTAATACTTCTTAGCTGTCATTTTTGAAATGAGATCAAAGATTTTTTCATGTGCTCACTAAGAATGTAATATTTTCTAGGAAACAGGAAAATACATTTAATTTAGTATTTTAGCTTGAGTCCAGAAGTTACATGTAAGAAGTGAATTTGCAAGAGGAAAATACTATGTTTAAGCATTTAGTTATTCTCTCTTTATACAGTACAAAACTTTTACCAGCAAAAACAAGTAACCATAGTGGGGAAGAACTTCAAGAAACGAGTTTCTTCTGTTTGAGAGTCAGGTAAGGGAATTAGGTCGTAGAAAATTAATATTGTGGTTTGTACAAAAAGATTGGATTTTTACAATTTCTCTTTAGTTTCATCTTAAATATGTGTGTGGTAAAATTTGGATTAGTACAAGTTTCTTTGTCTCTTTCACAGAGTGACCTAGCATTTCTACAATATGGTTCATTGTTTACATAGATACCATGTTTCTGTAGAGGTTTTTCAAGTTTAAATTACATGGTTTTGAAGATAAGATGAACACTTTCAACATTCTGGTTAATTTTCATTGTTTCATGCCTGTCTTTGAAGATTGAACATTCATATTATTTCCTGTACCTAAATTATAGGAGAAGGAAACTACTGCATACAGGGTTTGATTCCAAAGATGTATATGGCTTCCAAAATAAAATTTAAACAATGCTAGGAATCTAGTATCAAAACCTAAAGTAATTCAGAAGTAATACTTATAGTGGGCTAATGGTTTATAAAAAACAAGGGCAGGTTTGCTTAAAAAATACTTTATCTTTTCTTTAAAGGCAGAATTGTTATGTCAACATAGACTCTATTGGTAGCAGTGCTATCATCACTGTGAGTGATCCAGCCAAAGGTAAGTCTGTTAGGGAAAAAAACGGTCTCTTCTTTTACCAGATGAAATGGTTTAGTTAATTTTAGAAGATGCCTGTCAGAACTTTAAACGTATTTCTAGATAAATTTTTTAATCTAAAACCTAATATATATTTTAGTGACTAGAGATTAGTACTGTCACAAGCATCTCTTCTAAACTCTCATAATGACAATAAGCACACAGAACTGACCAAACTTAACAACTATAGAATCTTAGGAGTAAGACAGGTTCAGCCATATACTTTAGTGATAGTAGTAGAAGAAAGACACAGAAGGAAAAAGCAGAATGCTGGAGAAGCTGATGAGTTAAGAGAGGTAGGTATTGTAATGGTTAAGAACATGATTAACACTAAATTTTTAATGTTTAGCCTTCTCATTTGTAAAATGGATTAATAAAGGACTGAGACTTTGTAAAGAGCTTACCCAGGTTCTTATACCTAGTAATTTCTCAGCACATGGACAGTACTACTTTTGTTGAGTTAAGTTTGAGAAATAATGAGCTTTTCATAAGTGTTTCTGAAATAGCCTGCAGGAAGTAAAAGTAGTCAGGAAAGGGATCAGAACTGGGGCTGAGGCTGGGGCACTAGTTGAAGCCAATACATTATTGTTACATAGGATGGTACAGAAGAAGAAAATGGCCAATAATCACTCTTTTGGATTATCAGTGGGACCAAGGTACAGGGAGATTGTGGGCATATAGAAGGAAGAATAAGCAAGAGTAGTCCATTGGATGGAAAATTGAAAAGTAAAGTTCCACACAAAGCAGAAGAATCTCAAAAAGAGAGATGGTTAGCTGGGTTAACTAGACACACCTGTAAGCCTAGTTGCTTGGGAGGCTGAGGCAGGAATTGCAAGTTTGAGGCCTGCCTGGACAACTTAGTGATCCTTTTCTCAAAAGTTTTTCAAAATGGGTTGGTGATGTAGCTCAGTGGTAGAGTGCTTGACTAACATGTGCAAGGCCTTGGGTCAGTCCTAGCAGTCATTCCTTCTTGTGGTTATTACTGTAGTGCTATTTGCATTCTTTGGCTTCTTGCTTCGGCCTTATGTCACTGTTAATTTAATTAACTTTTTAAATCACTTACTGTATGATATTTCATCATATGGTAAACGTGACTAACTTTTGAGAATAAAAAGTCTAAATGGGAAATACTGTTGATTATTCAGTGAGCAAGGACAGCTGTTTGTGAAGCACTTTACTACATACTTTCTTGGCATAATTTGCAAATGATTAATGCTTTGGTCTGGAAACTTGTCTTTTGAAATTTTAGATTTTGTCATCTTTTGTAGTCAATGGTAGCAATTCAATGAGTGTATCATAAAAGTTGGTGGCTACATAGTATTTCTCTTAAAGAAATGGTTTTCTTAGAGGATTTGGATTATAACTCAGTGGGAGAGCATGACTTAACCAGCATATGCAAGGCCCTGGGTTCTATTCCCAGCACCCTTCCTGCAAAATAAAAACGATTCTCTTAAATTTAGGGTAATTCATCTATTCCTTTGAAATTATGGTAAAAGTGTAGGTACTTGCCTCAGAAAGATGCTCACACATGATTTGTTAATACAGTTTTAAAGGTCTTATAGTTAAAACTGTTGGCCTTAAGACTTCTGTTTCTAAGAAGTATAATTCTTTTTTTTTTTTCTTTTCGAGAATTTGTTTCTTTTTTCTGTTTTTTTTCTAAAGTATAATTCCTAACTACAGTTACTGGTAGTGAGAATACATCTATATCCCTGCTGGGCTACTTCTAAATAACTCCTAGAGTAAAGGTTATTGTTATTTGAAGATACCTGATTAGTTTTAATATTTTTATTCCAGGGAAAAGTCAAGTTTGTGTCTGAGAATTATACAGCTAACTACACTAGGTCCTCTTCTGGCTATGATTGCCATGTGGCTTAAAATGCTAACAGTTTCTCACAAAACGAGTCGTTTTGTGTCTTTGAACTAAGTCAGGTATAGTTATCTATGAGTAAATAATATCCAAGATATGTTTCTGAATCTGATGTGTTAAATTTTAGGCTGAGTGGATTTGAGATAAACTTGCCACATGCAATTCATAATGCTAACAATACTTATTTTTTTTTCTTTCAGTATTACCTCTATGAACTTTCAGGCAGCACTGTTATTGTGCGATCCAGGCAGATCAGACCTTAGATAATTGTAACTTTTCAGTACAGGGAACCTAAGAAGATGGCAGCACCACCTCATAAAAGCATGTGAGTAATTATGTGTGTATACTCTGTTTAACTGAGTTTGTTTCTTTTGCTCTTATAAAAATGCTCTTTTTTTTCCTTTTTAGACTTGAAAGCAGTAAAAATGGTAAGAAATTATTTTATTGATTCTTTGTGGGGGGGTTTATTCTTAGTAGATATTTCATTCACAAATAATGTTTCAATTTTTTAATCTTCATTTCTTAAAGTTCTCATCTCTCCATGGAAAGGAAAATTAACTATTCAAGGTTGTGTGCTGTGTGATATAACTCTGTGGTCCAGTTATGGTACAGTAATTCCAGCACACCTGTAAGTATCCTTTCTAATGCTTGTATTACTTTTTTTTTCCTCCATTGCCAGGTATCTAACCCAGAGCCTTGTGCATGCTAAGAAAGTACTCTACCACTAAAACTAGAGTGCCCCTAACCCCAATTATTTTTTGTTTTAATTCTCTTTTTGAGGTCTTGGTGGATGGTAATTAGGGTAAATTTAGCAGTTAGACTTGGTTTTAGATAGATTGCATTTGAGTAGATGTGTGGAACACAAGGCTGTGACACAGGAGACATAATTTCTAATCTTTTAGAAATGATTAGATCATTGCAAATGATCTTTCAGAATAAATTAAATTATTTGGTAAAAAAAAATTATTTGGTATTAGAATAACTACCAAATCAGATTTGCCTAAATATAGCAGGTTATAGCAGTTGAATCCTATTACTGAGTTCGTTAAGATCTGCAGTATCTGGCCAGGGATTTAGCTGAGTGGTGCCACCGTCTGCCTTGCAAGTGGAAGGTCCTGAGTTCAATCCCTGGTACCAAAAAAAAAGATTTTTGCAGTATCCAACTTCCTAATTTTCATATCATTCTCTTAGAAAAATATTACTGAAAGTAGATGTTACATCTATTTATACTATAATGAATTATCATCATATATTTTTTCCTGGGGAACTGTGAAAGACATCTATGAACCCCTTTTGTTCAGGCAGTTATAATCTTGTACCCAAGACAAGGCAGACATAGTTTAGTTAAAATGTAAACACAAATAAATGTATCAGAATTTATTTATTTTCTGTTGACCTTTTTAAAGAAGAGGCAGCAAGTGTATTGTAACCCACAAAATAAAGAATTCTGTAAATAAACAAATGGGAAAGAAGGAGAAATTTTCCTCCCTGTAGAGAGCAACTACTAAATGTTGAAAAACTGATAGAATATGATAATCAACACGTGGATGCCAAAAGTAGTAAATTAAAGCTTAGGTGATATTTGCATCTATCCATACAACATGGTTATTAATCACAAGAGGGAAAATTGACTTTCCAGTAGAGAAAACTGGCAGATGTCATCTTAAGTGGTTAAATTAACTTTGGCATTAACACAATAGGTGTCACGTGCTTTCTGATATTCTGCACAGAGAATGACACAGTAGCACTTTTGTCTGTAATGTGGTTGCTAACCTAATGAAGAGGAAACATTAGACCTACCTAGATACAAAGGCATTCTACAGAATGGTCTGTATTCTTTAAAATATCAGAGTCTTTAAAAATAAAGACTAAGATACTGTCCCAGATAGGTCAATTAAATAATAGTACTATGAATTTCTTGATTTTGCTGATGGCATTATCATTGTGCAAGAAAGTTTCCCCCTTGTTTTTTTGGTATTGGGGATTGAACTCGGGTCCTTGTGCTTGCCAAGCAGGTGGCAGAACCACTGAGCTAAATCCCCGGCCCTGAGTTTCCCCTTCTTTGAAGGCAATATATGAAGAAATATTTGGGGTAAAAGGGCCTCAGTTTTGCATCTTGCTCTCAAAAGAATCGGAAAAGTTAATATATAGAGAAAATCAGTAGCAAAGCAAATGTGCTGCTGATCTGGATGAAGGATATAAAAAGTCCTTTGTACTATTTTTATAAGTTTTCTAGTCTAAAACTATTTCAAAGTAAGTTTTGAAAAAGGAAAAAGTAATTGGGATCTACTATAAAAGATACCGTTCCTTATATGGCACAATCCAATATTACGAAGAATTTTCAGCTCTTCTATAATTCTTTGACACATCTGGATATTTTAGTTATACCAAAAATATATATATTCAGAAAATGTGGGCATATTTTCAGACCATATCTGTGTATGAAAATCTATAATTTTACCAATATGCATGTTGTTTAAACTGAAGTCTGTTAATTTAAGGACTTGCATGGTAATTATATTTTTATTTGCATTTACATTAGAAAGCTAAAAATTCTTTCTGCCAAGGGAAAACAAAAAAAACCTAAATATTAAAGAGCTATAGATATAATTTCAGTATTTATTACATTACTTGATACTGTTTTGTTTTTTAGACCACATGAACTACATTTTAAGTATGTAATGCGAGTGTCATCTTTGAAAGAAAGACTGCCAGAAGCTGCTTTTAGAAAACAGATTTACTTGGAGCAAAAAGGTCTGTTGAAATAAAATGGCACACTGCATGTTCAGGGCTTTGTTCTACTTTCTTCTCTGTCTTCCAAACATACATACCTGCACATACATACTTTTGTTTCATCATAAGTACTTCTTAAAAGGCTCTTTCGAGAGAAAGTTCTAGAGTTTCCATATTCATTTCCTTGGAAGCCGAGTAGAAACTGGAAGATAGTTTTATTTAAGGTGAAAAAGTAGGTTTAATAGAGAATATTAAGAGACATTAAAAGTAGTTGGAAACTCATAACCATTCTTCTCAAGGACGAAAGCGTTTTTGTTAATTTATGTACTTTAAAATCAAGTGAAAGAAAAATAAATATGAGAAGAAAATTTTTTGACCATTGAGGTTACTTCATGGAACATTGATGTTTACGTGGTATTTGTCTTGTTAATGTTGTGGCTGTGAGCTGTGTCAGTGCAAATGAGAGCATTGTTTTAAAATAACTAATTCAGAGCCAGGCATGGTGGTGCACTCCTGTAATCGCAGAACTCGTGAAACTGAGGTGGGAGGATTGCCACAAGTTCGAGGCCAGCTTGGACTACATAGTGAGTTCAAGGCCAGCCTGAACCACATAGTGAGACTCTTACTCCCCCCCCCAAAAAGAAACCTTCAGTAACTTTTTATTAAGGAGTTTTATAACTAAAAACATCAAATCATAAAGGTTTTTTGAGTAGTATTGCCAACTCTCACTTTTGTGACATAAAATAAGTGAATTAGTTACAAAAATACAGTATATTAAAAAAAATAATTAAATTATAATTAAAATATAATTTTTTTAATTTCCTTTACAGTCTGTTGCCAAGATTTGTGCTTCAATTTGTATGAGGTGGAACTGTCAAACAAACAAGGGGAAGAAGTAGATAAATTAACAGAATACATTAAAAATAAGCAATTGGTAAGAATCTTTTTTTTTTTTTGAGACAGGGTCTTGCTATGTAGTTCATACTGGTGTTGAACTCACTGTATAGCCCAGGTTGGCCTTGAATTCACGGCAATCTTCCTGCCTCAGCCTCCCAAGTGCTGGGATTACAGAGATATGCCACTATGCCCAGCAAGAATCATTCATATAATATATAACTTTTTTTCTTGAACTGAGAAATTGATATCTAAGTAATGGTTGGCTGTAACTTGATTGAATTATTTCAGATTGCTGAAAAGGTTTTCATTGTTTAGTATTGATGTGTTCATAGAGTATTTATTGACTTAACACGTTTTCATCCCCCTTGTATTTCAGTTTACTTGTGTGTCTCAAGGTATTTGTTTATTGCATTAAAATTATTACATAAGCATTGGATTTTATCTTTGTTAGGGGTATATAGGTTTTAGAAATGATGAACAGTGGAAAAAAAGAACTTTAAACTTAATAATTTAGAATGATAGCTTTTAGATAGCTTCCTTGGGACAAAATTCTCCTACTTGCTAAAAACATCAAAATTGGAGCTCAGAATTCTATTAAAGACTCTGGTAGAATTGTTTTATCTGAATTTTTTGTTGCCATTAGAATTGATTATTTTCTATTATTTTTAAACAATCTGTTAGGGGGCCAGGGATTTAGCTCAGTGGTTTTGCCGCCTGCTGCGCAAGCACAAGGACCCGAGTTTGATCCCTGGTACTCCCCCCAAAAAAATTAATAAAAAATCTGTTAGGATGCTATAGAAAGGATTTGGGGGAGGTTGGTATCTTCTGATCTTTCTAGTTCCAGGATTCTATAATAATTTTTATGTAACCATGAGTTTAAGATGCTACTTCGGACTGGGGATGTAGTGGTAGGGTACCTGCCAGCTTGTGTGAAGCCCTGCGTTCAATCCCAAGCACTGTAAAAAATAAAATATTATTTATAGATCTGATACATCTTGAGTTAATGGCTATGGGTACATAATGGTTATTTTTTGTTTTTGATTTTCTGAGACAGGATCTTTTTATGTAGACCATGCTGGCCTTCAATTCACTGTGTAGCCTAGGCTGGGCTTGAATTTGCAGCGAATCTCGTGCCTCAGCCTCCCAAGTGCTGGGATTACATGTATTGGCTTTTTGATGGTGATTGGAAGTCTAAACTATCTCACTGGGAAAAAAAAGAAATAAATCTTTAGTCATTGACCTGTTATATTGTTGAACACTCTTCTAAAACTTACCCTTGCTGTTCTAGTTACTGTATTTAGCCAGAATGGGGCCAAGATTATTTGAGCTAAGGAACTTGTGGTTTCTGATACTGGAGACAAAATTCTCATGATTCTTACAAACACTTAACACTTCAAGAATTTTTTCTTGGGCTCAAAATACACTAATGAGTATAATAGAGAGGAAAGAGCTATTAAACAATCTTTATTTCTTTTTTTTTTTTAAATGTTTAAGGCACTCATCAAATGCTTAGAAGATCGAGCATTTTTCATTTTACTTTCATCATCAGCCTTAATACCAGAGCCAGGTAAGGACAACTAACTTCACGGAAAATTTTTTTCAATATATTTACTTTTGTTTTATAAGATCAAAAGCAATAACTTTTCTTCTTTTGATTCTTATTCTGTGTAGATACTGGAGATGAGCAAATGAGTCTACATGTGTTGCATTTATTCCATTCACACCTGGCAACAGGTGAGGATACGGTGGCATCCAGTTCACTGGGTCTGATTTCACTCCTCATCTGACTTGACATCTTAGTAACACATAACAATGTTAACTATTTAGCTTTTTTTTTCCTCTTAATTAACTCATCCCTTATTCTACAAAGTTGACAGCTGTTCACCTCCTTTGAAGGTTATCCTTTCTTCTGAGCTTTAGGCCCATGTTTTCAGTGTCTGCTATCATTTCCACCTGGATTATCTCCAGGGTTCCCCAAATTCAGCTTGTCTAAAGTTGAATCCATTTGTTGCTGAACAGCAGTAGCCAGGATATATCTTACTCATAGCCTGTACAGTGGGTGTGACTCATTGTCTTCATAGATCTACTTCCTTTTCTCTGTACATATTTGATCTCCATATTTGTCCTATGCATTCTGAGGGTGATACTGCCTCCCCAAAGGACCATAACTTAGCTATTGCAGTGAAAAAGTATTATTCATGTAGTACCTAAACAGATATACAGTATATCTGTGGTGTTAAATTTTCAGAGGGCAGTTATGGGAAAATTATGTCTAAAAGTGCTCTTAGGGGAGGATAACAAAAAGGTTGAGAAACACTAATCTGGTTTATTTATATGTCTGTCAAGTTGTAGTTTCAAAGTCACTTTTCTGGTAACTTTAACTAGAATCCTTGGCTTATTATCAGTAAATTGTTTAGTGTCTACCTTTTATCAGAAAAGGAAATTCTCATTGTTTTATAATCACACTGTGTGGTTTTTTGTTTTGTATTTTGTGATGCATGCTAGACAAATATTCAACTACTAAGCCATATCTCCAGCTAATATGGCATGGAAATTTTTTAAAAGTTGATATTTTAAGGGTGGGGAGGTGGTGAGACAGGATCTCACTATGCTACCCAGGCTAGTCTTAAATTCTTGAACTTAAGGATCTTCCCACCTCAGTCTTTCAAGTATCTGAGACTACAGGGGTGTACCACCATGTTTAGCTAGAACTGATTATTAAAAATTGTATTAAGGGCTGGGGATTTAGCTCAGTGGTTCTGGCACCTGCCTCGCAAGTGCAAGGTCCCGAGTTCGATCCCTGGTACCAAAAAATAAAAATAAAAAAATAAAAATTATATTAAGTTATATTGTAGAGCTTCTCCCTATAAGATTTCTGACTTGATTCTTTTTCATTGTAAATTGCCACTTGGATAAGAACTATTAACTACCTGTACCCAAGAAGAGCATAGGAACTCTGTTTGAATAAATGTTGGAGTGTTTCTTTTTTATTTGCTCCTGAGGCTCATTAAAACATTTTTTACTTACGGTCATCCAGAGGTTTAAATCTTTAGTTATTTGTTTTATTTTGAGTAATACTTTGTTTAGCCAACTTAAAAATTTTTACAGATTTTATAATAGTGTATTAGAAATAATACTGCATTACTAAGTTACTTCTTGCAATAATGAAGTTGCCTAGAAAATGCTACTTTGTTATCTGTATGCTTTAAAATACATAAGGACTTTTTTATATTTCATATCTTCTTCACTTATGTCTGTGATGAATGCCAAGAAAGGAACTTTTATTTTAATATCTAACCATATTTTCATGCTTGTTTTTATTTGCCTTTCTTTTCCTTTAATTGATACTTGCTATAGTATTAATTATTTAACTAAGATTGACGTGATATTTTATAATTCTCCAGGTGCTTTCTCTTTAAAAAGAATGGGAATTATTCCCATTCCATTTACTGGGTACTGGAGGTCTTTGTTATCTGTCAGTTTATATTATTGATGACTCTGAAATTTTCTAGTACATAACAAATTCATAAAAATTTTCTAGTTAATAACAAGTTCATAAAAACCTGACCTTTCCTTTTTTTTTCCTCTCACTGGTTCTTTTCAGTTACTGATTTGCTTAAAAAAGTGTTCAAAGAATGAGCTAGAAGAGAAGATGAAATAGACTAGTTGGTTTAGTTAATTTTAAAATTTTTTATTCCATTTGCTAGAAAGGGTGATAGAATTAGCAACTGTTGTTTCAGTGAGATTTGTGGATTATTTAGGGCCTTCTTTCAGTTTAGTTTATTTGCATTATAACTTCTAAAAAAGAATTTAGAAAGAGTTGTATAGGTACAAATAAAATATATTTTTAAAGCAGAAAATAAGTAGAAAAGCAAACCCGTCTGCTTTAAAAGCCACTGTTGAGCTGGGGATTTAGCTCAGTGGTTTCGCCGCCTGCTGCGCAAGCGCAAGGACCGGAGTTCGATCCCCGGCACCAAAAAAACAAACAAAAAAAAGCCACTGTTGCTACTGTAAAGGACCATTAACATCCTACTGAGTTCCTGATCAAGTGAGATTGGAGCTGGAGATAATTTAGTTTATTTCTTCTAACTTAGCAATTGCATGTCATATGGTTCTGTTTCAGTTCAATGTATGCCTGTAATTTCAAATGTATGAAGTTATATATTTATTAACACACCCCCATCAGCTTGAACCACTGATGATATGTGCATGACTGTCCCATTGGATGGTATACCAAATAAAAATGACCCAATGGAACAGACATGCATGTAATACCAGTAGTTCAAGCCTCCCAGGAGCGAGACATACGAATTGCAGCCTCATTGTGAATATGTTAAATATACTCATAAGTGTGTTAGTTGCCAATTGGTTATCATTAGGAACCTCTTAGCATATTTAACCATCCTATCTAAAGCATTTTCCCTGCATGTTTTATTAAAGAAACTTCAGGCTTTTAATATATTGATATCTGTTTTAGAGGTGAAAGATTTGAAAATTGAAGATGACATTTCATGGAAGGTGGCTCCCATTTTACCTGCTCTTAATTGTGCTCTTCTAGAAGCAAAGAAATTACTTCCTGAAGAAGGAACTCATCCAAACATATTAGTAAAGCATAATTTCCAAGAACTGAACAAGGTGGACAAAAACCTTTCTTTGACTGCTGCTCCTCAGGATGTAAAGAAAGAGACTACATTTTTTAGGAAACTGTCTGGTAGTTTTGACCTGGTTCCTCCACCTGAAAAGTGCTCAACAGAGTCTTTAACTCAGTTGAAGTCTTATTTTTCAGATCCTGGTGGTTATACTTTGGAAGTGTCTACCGCTTTGGGTTTGTTAGCAGAATGTCCTCCATCTCCTTATATTTCAGATGGAATTTGTGATGCTGGATTTTCTTTAGTTATGACTCCAGATCCTGAATTTCTTGACTCAGAGGCAGAAGTAAGAAAAAAAACTCAAACTGAAAAGAGTTCTGAAGAAATGTTTAAAGAAAAGAAGGGAGCTGTGGTTCCATTGAGTGCAGCATCAAATCTGAGAGTGCAGCCAAAGAGAAAGGCCAGCATGCTACCCATAGTGCGCAGCAAAAGAGTCAACCTATGCCCCTCATTTGCCAAAAGAACTACACCTGGAACAGATAGCAGATCATCCTCTCCATCACCTCTTAAGTTAGTTAAAGGACAGTTACCGCAGAAAAGAAAAAGAGGTAAGTATAATTTATATGGATTATTAATACAGTAACTGTTGTATTCAAAGCCTGCTCCTGTCTGGATTTATGTGGACTGGAGCATGGCAGTGTTAGAAATTTGTTAGAAACACCATCATGTCTCTCTAGGAGATGTGTTTACCTGTCAAAGCTTGAGAAGTACTGATCTAGATAATTGCTGAAAACTGTGAAATAGATAATCTAAGATACCTCAAAAGCCTGCCCATCAAGCTATGTTCCACTTGTAAAACCTCTCAGACTATTGCATATTTATATTTCATTTTCAGAAAGATGGTTATCTATTTTTCTGTGCCATCCTCTGACAAATTGAGGTGGAAGAGGGGGATCTGCTAAAAAAAAAAAAGCAAGCATACCAATAGCATGAAAGGGTGATAGCTGGCAACCTAAACACTAAGGAGACTGGAAGTGTCTGGACCTCTAACACTAAAGCAGTCTGGGATCAAGTTTCTGTTCCTTTGTACGTATTAGAGGTTTTTAAATGATCATCCATCTGGGAAGCTGAAGCAGGAGGATTGCAAGTTCCAGCCCAGCCTGGACAACTTAGCAAGATCCTGTCTCAAAAAACAGAAAAAGGGATGGGGATGTAGCTTGGTGCAATGCCCTAGGTTCAATCCCCAGTACTACAGGAAAAAAAAAAAATCAACTGGATCTTAAGACCAACCTACTGAAATGGAATATAGTTATATATTGAAAAAGTTCCACAAGAGGTTTTGATGTTCCTGGAAAGTAACAGAATCAGATTCCAGAGTCATTAAGTATTTTGACAAATGTACTTTAGCCAGCATGCTACTGCTCAAATTATATTTAGTGTGTTTTCTCTAAAAGGGTAGGGAGTTAAACATCCAAGGAGCTACTTAGTCATACCTGTTTCGCTGTTGGCTTCTCTCATTCTACATTGGCAAAGTTCAGCAGTTGTGATTGGGACCTTCACAACTGAAAATATACCTCGCAAGTGCAAGGTCCCGAGTTCGATCCCCAGTACCAAAAAACCCCCACACAGCTGAAAATATATACTTTCTGGCCCTTCACAGAATGTTTGCCAACTCATCTATGCTATTTGAATTTGAAAATGTTAGTCTCCAAAAAGTAACATGTAAAATATGCTGATGGACAGGATTCTGAATAAACCATGTTTTAACAAATAATGATTTCTGGCCTGCTTTGGTTTGAGAAATGGTGTGCTGTATGTGTATTTAGGAGGTTGGTGGAAAGTATGACAATATAAAGCATGGAGTCAGACTATACACTGTTTGTAAGTACATTCCAGGCCAACCATAATGAGCTTCTGTTCTATGTAAACCAGTTTACTTCAGGGTATTAAATTATCTCTAATTCAACATACATTTTTACTGTTTTCCAAATGTTTTAAATTACTGTATATTCATTATAAGTATCTTTGATATTATACTGTAATACTCATAAATTCATACATGACTGAAATAGAAATTTCAAACAGCATTTACTCTGTGTAATACAATTTAATGTTTTCTGTTCTGTTTAAGAAAGAATTCAGGGTTTTGCTGCCTGCTGCACAAGCGCAAGGACCCGAGTTCGATCCCCCGTACCAAAAAAAAAAAGGAAAGAATTCTGGTTGTGATAATTTGTTTTACAACCCACCCACCCCCACATTGGATTATTACATAATTGAGAAAGATGGCATTTTGTAATACATATAGAGTACCCCCCACCCCCACCCCCGGCCCAGAATCTGAGTTTATGAGAGATCTTCCCTTCTTGTTTGTACAAATAGGGTTTGGTTGTCTAATCTTATTTTCTTTTCCTTTTAATTTTAAATGTTTTTCCTGCTTGGTATTTTTGCATTTTCCTATGCTGAATATTTTAGAAAATGTAACTGGAATGTAATGAGAAGTCTATTTTAAAACCAGTATGGTGCTTTATTTTCTGATAATTTAATAGGGAGGAAAATAATTAGAGCTAGAGAAATCTATAACATTAAGAGATTCTGAAAGCTTTCTTTAAAACCACTCCTTTCTTTAACCCCTTCAAAAGAATGAAAAGAAATGTGTCTCTTTTTCTACATATCCCTGACACATATCAGTATCTAATGTTCTTTGATAAAATGGTTAGTGTTCTGAATGAGAAATAGTGTTTTATGTATAATTTTTAAATATTTGCTAACATTCATGGGTGATTATATATCTTTGGGGCTAAATTTATTGGTGGACCCAACTGAATTTATGAAATGCCAATGGGAAAAAGTTCCAAAGGGAACATTTATTAATTTTTTAACTTAAAAAATTGACTAGTGGTATTTTTTTTTCTCTCTACCTACCTCTACTTGTAGATATTTTCTTAATTCCTTGTAAGAAGCAAAGCAGATCATCTTAGAAGAGGGATGATAATTTTTTTTTTTGTTAAGGTGGTAAATTTGTAGCAAATAAAACCAGGTGCAGACTTTCCTCAGTCTTTCCCTGAAATTCTTTTTTTTAAGTTTATTTTTCAGATGGTATTGAGATGTTAATAAGTAATAAAATATATAATATGGCTCTTTGTGAGCACATACTCTTCTCTCTACTGGGTGATTATAGTTTTAACCATATAACTTTATGATGGGGGCTATGTTGCTTTTTATTTAAACATAATTTATTTGGGGCCGGGGATTTAGCTCAGTGGTTCTGCCACCTGCCTCACAAGTGCAAGGTCCTGAGTTCGATCCTTGGTACCAAAACAAAAACAAAAAACAATTTATTTTATTCATCTCCCAGTGTTGTTTTACCTGCCACATCAATCAGAAAAGGTTATACAGAATTTTTAAAAATTAGGTTGTTACCCAAGTTCAATCCCTGGTACCAAAAAAAAAAAAAAAATTAGGTTGTGGGTTTTATATTATTACCCTAATAATTTTCTTCTTCACCTGATAAAGCTACAAGGAGACTCTTAACAAATTCCTATTTTTATATATAATTTGAGAGAGTATTTAACTCGTTAACTTGTTAAAAAAAAATAAAATCTTCTAGTGATACTCAAAAATTTATAGTTTATTCTTCCTTGCTACAGTTGCCCCCTAAAACAAGAAATAAAGAGAAAAGTGTACTGACAAATATCTGAGCCCCTACCCCTTAAAAAAACGGTGTCTTTTTCTACATAAGGTGCGGAAGTGGTGACTGCACAAGTTGTACAGAAAACCAAACTGAATAGGAAAAGCCAAGAAGTTCCTATTTCTAAAGATGTTCCAGTGGCAACAAATACTAAAAGGGCAAGGAGACAAGAGAAATCTCCAATCAAAACTGTTCCAAGGGCTAAGCCACCTGTGAAGAAATCTCCACAGAAACGGAGAGTAAATATAGTAAAAGGCAGTCAGAATCCCAGAATCGGAAAGCAGCCACAACCTGGTAAGAAACACTCTTCCTGTAAATGTAAACACTAAAATACAGATGTAATAGAGATTTCAAGATATATTTTGAAATAATGTAAGAGCAGTTGAAATTCATCAGTAATTCATTCTGTATTCCTTAGCTCAGACCCTGAAGTACATAACTTGATTTCCTATTGTAAACAAATAGGAAAGTGCAAATACTCTAGCTTTCACAAAATAGATCCTACTTTTTAATTTGTATAAAGCCTAACATGAATTTTTATGAGTTAATAGTATAAATGGCTATATTTATGAGTAAATACAGGTATCTTGCTGTATTTGTCTGAATCATACTCAGTTATAAAAAGTAAAAGGCTGTTAGTCTGTCTTGAGGAAATTGTAAACAAATTGTTTACAACTGTCAGTAATCCAGAATCACCTCAGTCTTTACCTTTATGCAACTGAACGCACACTACATCTACTCCTTGATCTGGGTCCACTTCCCTTCTTAACTTTACTTTTTCTATGTATGGTGTGATTCTTCCTCTAGACTGCAGTCTATAAATGAGACTATTATTGTGTGTGTTGTTGTTTGGTTTGGTTTTGTTTCACAAAGAGACTTTATTCCCTCCTTATTTATTTATTTATTTATTTATTTATTTATTTTTGGTACGGGGATCAAACTCAGGACCTTGCACTTGCGAGGCAGGTGGCAGCACCAATGAACTAAATCCCCTGGCCCTTTTTTTATATTTCTATCAGTTTTCTGTCTAATTTCCCTGATTCTGCTTTCTCCCTCATCTATATCTTATAGACAGTAGAGATTTAGAGAAAAAGTACTGTTTCGTTGGTGTAGTGAAAGTATAGGTGAACTTGCTTGTTTTTTAAGTTTCTTTAATGTTTCATGGCTGAAGGTTTTTTTTTTCTGTATTTAAAAAATTAACCTCAACCCTTTATTTCCATACATAAAAATAACTTGAAAGGATCTATGAACCTAAATATGAAAGACTAAAACTACAAAACTTTAAGAAGAAATTATAAAGGAAAATGTTTATGAATTTGGGGTAGGCAAGAACTTCCTAGGATACAAAAAACATGATGTATAAAAGAAAAAATTTGATAAATGAGATTCCATTAAAATTTAGAACTTTAAATAACATCGTTAAAATGAAAAGTAGTCCTTAAACAGACCATATTTACAATGCATATAACCTGTGACCAGAATATATAAAGAACTCCTACAGCTCATTAATAGACAACCCAATTAAAAAGTAGACACAAGGAAAGATGTGCAACCCTAGAATCAGAAAAATACTAATCAGTACAATAACAAGATTGAATTATACACCCATTAGGGAGATGAAGTTAAAAGTTTTAAAAGCCTTATCATGACCTTTTCTTTTTGTTGGATTCTCGCCCTTTGCATTTAATTTGTCACTCCCAGTGGATTCATTCTGCTGGGCTTGCTAGATCCTCGTCTTTTCCTAGGATATTGTCTAAAATATTTTGGAGTGCTGGTTTGGTATTCATGAAGTTCCTAAGGTGCTCTGTGTCATGAAAGTATCTTATTTCTCCATCAATTTTGAAAGATAGTTTTGCAGGGTACATCAGTCTGGGTTGGAGGCTGTTTTCTTTTAGGGCTTGCAATACGTCACTCCAAGCTCTTCTTGCTTTGAGGGTTTGCATTAAGAAGTCTGCTGTGATTCTGATGGGCTTTCCTTTGTGTGTGATTTTTTTCTTTTCTCTAACTGCTTGTAGAATTTTATTCTTCTGTTGGGTTTCTGGAATCCTAACTATTACATGCCTGTGTAGATTTTTTTTTGATCAAGGCTAGTTGGAGTCCTATATGCCTCACTTATCTGCATGTCAAATTCTTCCCCTCCCTGGGAAGTTTTCTGCCATCACTTCTGTGAACAGTTTTTTTATGTCGTCTGTGCTCTCTCCTCTTTCTTCATTGACTCCAATCAGTCTTCTTCTTTGCATCGTCTAGCAGCTGCTGGATTGATTTCTTGTGGTCCCTTACAATTTTAAAGCAATTTTTCTTTTCCTAGTCACTAATTGCAATCTTATCTTCTATATCTGAAATTCTGTCCTCACATTGGTTCATTCTGCTGTGTAGACTTTCAGTGGAGTTTTTAATCTCCTAGAAATCTGTTTGTATCTGTTTTATGTATTCCATTTGTTTCCTGTGTTGGTATTCCATCATGTTCCTCAGCTCCTCTTTTTTTATCTGTTTCCTCTCTAGATTTATTAATCATGTCTTGCACTATGGGCACAATCTCTGCTGTTATCTGAGAAATTATTTCTGATTTCATTTTTTCCAGATCCTCTTTTGTTGTCAGTTCAGGGAGTCCAGGTGATTGAGAATCAGATTATTCCGTCTTGTTTCCCTTTGGGGTTGCTGTTAGGTGATCTGGAAGTCTTGTTTTTGAGGCTTGTTTATGTGTTTTCTCATTTCCATGGGGGTGGGGGATGTACTGCTGGCACCTGCATGGCTCACCTCCTCTGCCCTGGGAGCCGTGGAATGGCAGCCGGGAAGCCTCCTCCTGGGTGCTGGGATTGGCTCACCTCCTGTGCCCTGGGAGCAGTGGAATGGCCTGAAGGTTTTTTGTAGAAGCTCATCATCTTGTTCTGAAATTCATAGTGGTACAATTTTTACTTCCGTACCAAATTTGAAATCTTCTACTTTGTGAGGGGAATTTATGATTTGGTCTTACCCTACATGTCCATATTTAGCTCTATTTTCCCAACATGTTTCTTTCCATTTGGTTAGTTTATCTGCTCTAGGTACAATATAAGATATTTTTACTCTGGTGTAATTCCTCCCTGCCCATCCAGGTTCTGTGCAGCTAGGTCCTGTCTCCAGCATTTCCTTATGCTCTGACCTTCACTAATCTCGTTTTCTTTTAGTTGTTTGAGAACATTATAGAATTAATTTATACTGTCTGCTAATCATTTGGTGTGGTTTGGTCCTATCTTTCTGGTGTGTAAACATGGGAATAGATATACCATGTACTATATTCTGTAGCAATGTTATTTGAATTCTTTGTACTCAATTAGCTTTTAATATTTATTGGCAAATTTATTGAGAGAAACTATGCCATTGGAGATTGGCAGAAAAAATGAGCTCAGAAAATTAATTTTTCAAAATGCATGTTGAAAAGTAGGCTGATTTGTATTGTAATGTCTATATATAGATATGCAACCACCTGCCAAATTAAATTTTTAAGATACAGCCTTTTAAATAATCTCTTAATTTTTCTTGCATTTCTTAATCACCTGTACTAACCTGTTTTATTTCTTGTACTTGAAATATCAGAATTTAAAACATTCCTCCTGGCTTGAACACTTGTATGATATGTGCACAATTGTCCTGTTGCATGGCTTGAACCATTGGTGGTACATACATGCATGACCATCCCATTGGATAGCTGCCCCATGGGATAGTCATGCATGTACCACCAGTGGTACAAGCCATGCAATGGAGTGGTCATGGATGTAGAGCCCCATGGGGAACATATTAAGACAGATGAAATATGGCCATGCTGGCCTTAATTTGAAAAGTACTGATTAAATGATTTTGAGTTTTGATTATCAGAATCAAATGAGAATTTTGAAGTCAATTTTATTTTACTAAAACGAATAACTTTCTATCCCTTTTAGTTTGTAATAAAGTTTTTTATTCATTGAATTCTTTGTATTTTATAGAATTCATTTGGCATTGTCTTATTTATCTTAGAGTATCAGTGTTGTATTTGTATATGTCAAAAATTATTTAAGACCATACATATTTATTAAACTTCAGTGCAGTATATTTTATAGTTGACTTAATTTATAAGTTAACAGATAAGTATATGGAAGCCATAATGTTAACAAAGATAGGGTTAAATTAGTATCAGCAAGCATGTATCATAAAATAAATTACATATTTCTCCTGGACATGGTGATGCACACCTGTAATCCCATCACTTGGGTGACTGAGTGAGGAGGATCTTATTTCAAGAACTGCATAGTGAGTACAAGGCCAGAATGAACTACACAGCAAGATCTTGTCTCAAAATGAAAACTGAAATAAAAAAGAAAATATTAAGGGCTCAGAATGTAGCTCAGTGATAGAGCATTTCCCTAGCATGCCCAAGGCTCTTAAGTTTGATTCCCACCATAGGGCAGAGGATGTGAGGGTGTTTCCAGTATACCTGTGGGGCTAACAAGGCAGTTGTCTTTGCTTTGAGCTCCTTTTTTCTACAAGCCCCTTTGAATTTTGCTATTTTCAATAAAAACTGGGCAGTGGTTGATTAATTTGAAGCTCTTCGACACACACTTTTCATTCTAATGATGGCATCATAGGCTAGAGCTTTCTTCTTTTCTTTAAATGTATTAGTTATTGCCCTTTGCAAGCAGGTTATCAATTCATTTCAGACTTACTACAATTAACTATAAAGAGGAACACAGTGGACTTTTCTGTCCATTCACTTGCAACAGGGAATAATTGCCTAGTTTAATTGTGAACTTTATTCTTAATAATAGCAGCATTTAAGAAGGATTCATGAGCCTGTAATCCCAGGGCTCGGGAGGCTGAGCCAGGAGGATCGCTACGAGTTCAAGGCCAGCCTGAACTACATAGCAAGACCCTGTCTCAAAAAACAAAAGAAGGATTAATGAAATGTCCTGAGAATACGTAAGCAGACCAATGGAGAATGTAAATTTTCTGATGAAAGGCAAATTGAAAGATTTAATTATCTGTAGAAAAATTACCATTTTGTGTATAGAGTAAAAAGATGATAACATTAACTGGCAATTCTGGATACTCGTGACTCCTAATTTTTCATATCATTACATATTATAATTTAAGCTCAGTGTAGTTTAAAAATCATTCTATTTTGAACTTAGGTGGTTTCTCTAATAACTTATGTAAAGGAAATGGTTTCTGAGAAAATATGTTAGCTAACAAATACTTTCAACTTCTAAATTCTTATATCCTCACTAGATTGTAAGCTCCCTGAGGGCAGGACTCTAATTTTACTTTGGGTTTTTTTTTCCTCTGTGTGTATTTCTTGAGCTTAATAGTTTGTGTTGTGTATAATTCAATACATGCATTTTGAATTAGTGACATCTTTTTAAATTAGTATTTAAGTCCTCTAAGATTTGTTCCTCCATCAGTATTTTATAATATATGTATCTGAGGGTTGAAATAAACCTCAATCCGATAACAAAATTCTAATATATAATCTATGTAACATATCAAGAGACATTTCTTGAATATATAACTTAATTTTCACTAAGATGTGATATGGAAGAAAATTAATTTTATAAAAAATGTGTTATATCTTTTCATTTTTTCTTTTGTACTGAAGCCAAAGAAGAAACTGCTTTACAGCTTCAATCAGAAATTTCATCAGATGGTCAAAAAGATGGAATTAGCATGAATACAGCTCAATCACAAAGTATCACAGTGGCTCAAAAAGATCTTCCTGAAAACTCTATTATAAACTATGACTCCCAGGCCCTAAATATGTTAGCTGATCTAGCATTAAGCTCTGCTGCATCTTCCACACCATTATGTGAGGCTAGAAACCTTCCCTGCTCCTCTGAATTGCCACAAAATGATGTTTTACACTCCAAAGAAAGTTCATTGTGTGATACTTCTGACCATGATTATCATAGTGGAGTTAAAAGTCAAAAAGGTATACTATTATCTAAATCATCCTGTGATCAGAAGAGTAATTCAGGGCTAGACTTAACTGCTAGCCACGAAGAAGAAAACTTGGTTCCTTGTAGTCAAACGCCTCCTAATGCCCAGTCAGCACTCCGTGAGGAAACAGAGCCTTCAGGTACAAGCCAAAACTCTCTTATAACTGTAGAACATTCATATGCCCTGCTCCTTGGAGAAAATTCAAAGAAACATCTGCAGCAGAGAGGGTTACCAGGCCCTGCATTTGCCAAGACTGGAACAAAAGGCCCTGAAGCTGGAACTCCAGTGGGGAAAGTCATGCCATTTCGGCATCTGCAGAACACCTCCCCTCTACAAAAGCTTTCTGAGGATTCATTGGTAAAGCACAGAGGTCGATTTATATCTTCCAACTTGAAAAATATTTTTTGCTCCCATACTATAATTAGCTGTGATGGCTCCTTTAAGATCACTTTCAAATGTGAAACAGAATATGCATTCAACTTAGATAGCAAATACACAAACAACCCACTGGAGAAAACTGTTGTAAGAGCGCTGCATGGGTAAGTAGGAGTGAAACTTGTTGAAAATGGATGTAACATTTTTTGAGATTAACATAGTAAGATGGGAAACTTGCGCCATACTTTGGGGAAGGAGAAAGAAGCAATGTGTATAAAACCAGTAATTTAGTATTAATATCAGGCAAATGTGTTTATTGAGAATAACAGACAGGTTTTGCCACTGCCAGTAATCAATGGGGAGAGCTTTTTAAAGATAACTTTCCATTTTGCAATGCTCTTTCAGTAACACTCATGATTGTTGAATTAGGTTTTAGATGAGACCTTAATGTAAAATAGCATGTAAAATAAAATAATATAGCAGTAATGCTTTATTTAATTGTTTTATGTATTTAATTCTAAAACTGAATTCCAGGAGCAACATTAAAAAGTTACTTCTAGTTTATTAAGTTGATCAGATTGATTAGAATGGTTTCACAAGTATAAGTCTTCCATAAGAAGAGATTGAGGCTAACCAGGCATGGTGGTGCATGTCTGTAATCATAGCACTCAGGAGGATTGCCAAGAGTTCAAGGCCACCCTGAGCTACAAACTGAGGGCCTGTCTCAAAAAACCAAAAAGAGACCCAGGGATGTAGCTCAGTGGCGCAGTGCTTGCCCGGCAAGCACAAGGCCCTGAGTTTGATTCCCGGTGCCAAAAAGGGACAGAAATTGAGATTGAGGCAATAATACCAGAATGATTAATAATCATTAATATCACAGGCTTTAGTGTTTATAATAATCTAGGTGTGATTTTAGGCCCTCCCATTTTATTACCTCCTATGGCCCTGGGCAAGTTATATGCATCTAACTAGTACTTCTCAATCCTTACCATGTGTGTAGCTCATCTAGGGAACTCATTAAACTGTAGATTCTGGTGCAGTCACTCTAAAGTGAGGGCCAAGACCCTACCTTTCTAACAAACTCCCATGTGATGTCAGTGGAGGATAACAATCTGTGGGGTAATGCTTTTAAGTAAGGATTTACATCCTTTCCTGTTAGGCTTTTTTACAATGACTGGCCCATTGTAATAAATAGAAACCATCCTATTAGCAAGAAGTATTAGCATGACATTATGGAATTCAGTTACCTGTTATGAACTATTTCACATGTGACTAATGGACTTTGCAGGTATCAGATTTCTTTCCTCGCACATGTTCATATATCCTTAGGTTCACATTTATACAGGCAGGTTATTTCCTTAGCTTTAGTCCTTGTTAAGTGTAGCTTAGCCTGCACTCATCCCACTTCCAACTGTCTGCTATCATTTTGGCTGTCATAGGCCAGAAATGTTTTGTATCTCTCCTTATGGTTTCAGGATATTATTGAGAACTGTAATCTGAAAATAGTATAATTCTACTAAGTTGCCTAGAGAAATATTGTACTCTTTAAGACTTCACCAACTATTAGAAGAGAGACACAAAAATAATGGAAAAGAAATGAGTTAGCCGTGGTCAGCAAAATGAAAGTAATGAGGATTTGAGTAGTTGGTCAAACCATTATTCACATATTAGTATGCTGTCTCCAAAGAGACCAATGGTAGACTAGGAATCAGGAGACCCATGTTCAGATCAGTTTTTTCATACAGGTTTTGTGATTTGAAAAGTAGTCATTTAAGTATTTTGATTCTTAGTTCCCTTCTCTTTAAAAGGGCTGGGTTAGCTAAAATAATGAATGGATGGTTAGACTTCATAATTATTTGTTAAATCATCTTTATCTTTACTTACTCATTGTCTCATATCTATAATTTTTAAAATAAAAATGAACACCAAAAGTTCATAGTTACCTATTTCAACTTACCTAGTTCATAAGGTCGCACTTATTTATGATCATCAACTAAAACAACCATTTTAACTTTTGTATGTTCTTTAAAATTTCAGGCCCTGGAACACTAATTTGCCTGATAATATGGAAGAAGTGAAGCTTCTGATTCATATGTGGGTAGCTCTGTTTTACAGAAATCGAAACAAAGTCATACAATCATCCCGAAAAGTGGTAGAACACAGTAACCCAGAAAAATATGTGTCTATAAATAGCACATTAGAATCTTTTGAACTCAGTGAAATTGAGGAATCCTCCAGTGTGGAAAGATGTTCCATAGAACCTCTATTAGAGACTAAGGAAATGTCCAGAGCTCATGCTAATGAAGTATCCTTCCATGGTCCTAAATGCTTGCTACCTCTCATTAAACTACCACCTTCCAGAGGCTTGGAACTCTGTGTAGAGAATGAACGGAAGGAAATTTTTGCAAGAGAGTGTCATCTGGATAACTCAGAGAGTCAGAATTTCATCCATTCTTGTAATGATGAGGTAAGATTGAATACTGTAAATGTTAGCATTATTTTTGAAGTAAGACATTATTTTATGTTGAGAAAGTGAATTCTAAAGCTAAGGGATTTTCATGCCAGAACTTTATTAGTTTTTATAAAAGTGTTGTTCCGATTGTCTGAAGGTACTTTATCTGCTAAACTGAAAAAAACAGGAGTAGAAAACGATCACAGGGCTAAGATGTTCTGGGAACCCACCATGGTAGTTTTGTTTTTGTGGTACTGGGATTCCTTCACACTAAGCTAACCCCCCAGCTGTTTGTTTTTTTTTTCGTTTATTTGTTGTTGTTAGACAGGGTGTCATTAAGTTGCCTAGGCTGGGCTCAGACTTGGAATACTCTGGACAGCCTCCTGGACTGCTGGTATTACAAACTGGCACCATTACACCCAGCTGAGACAGAAATGTTTTTAACCAGAGATTTGAAACATAGTTCCTGGCTTCCAGCCTCTTTGCTCCAAGACATGGCAGGCAATTTGTGAGCATAATGTTCCAGACATTGTAGAGGTATGGTAAATTGTATAATTATCCATTTCACCATATTCTAAACAAGACCATGTTGGAAGCTTTAAATAAAGCAAAACAATCTGTTTATCAGATTATCACATTGTCTTGAGGTAGTTCTGCTAATATTTAGTCTAAATTCTTCTTGCTACTATTTAAATTCTTTTAGTTTATGATTGCAAACCATACTGATAAATTTTCTGCTACTCTGTGGAATAAAGGTTATTCAAGTGAAAATTATCTCAGTTTTAAAGCAGAGAAGATAGGTAAGAGGAAACGAACTTTTATTTACCAGAATCAGTTACTTAGAGTAATTAATTTACTCTGTCTCATGGGAAAGTTCCAAACACCAATGTACTTTATTGGAAACTGATGTTTAAAAAGTTATTCTTGGATTTAAGTTATCTTATTATCTTACTAGCAAATTGAGTACCATTTTTCTAGTGTTACATTTCTGAATTAAATGACAAAATTTAGTGAAGACAATGCATTTCAGGTCTTTAGTTGTCAGTGGTTTAGCTACTTTCTTCAAGAAGTGTCATTTAAAAAAATTGGCAGTAGCTGGGCGTGGTGACGCATGTCTGTAATCCCAGCACTCAGGAGGCTGAGGCAAGAGGATCCCTGTGAGTTCGAGGCCAGCCTGGGTTACATGGTGAGTTCAAGGCCAGCCCAAACTATGTAGCGAGACCCTGTCTCAACAACAACAGTAGGCTGTGCAATTAAGAAAGTTTTGGCCCTCTAATCTGTGTATACATTTTTTTCTTAATTTTTTGAGAACAGGGTCTTACTTTATAGTTAGGCTGTCCGTGAAGTCACTGTGTAGCCCAGGCTAGCCTCAAACTTGATGTGATCCTCCTGCTTCAGCCTCCTGAGTGGTGAGATTACAGACATGTTCCACCTCACCTGGCTTCTACTCTCCGTATATTTTTACAGAAATAAAATTGCAGATTGGGTTTGCAGCTCAGTAATAGAATGCTTTCTTAGCATGTGCAAGCCTCTGAGTTCAGCACCTCAAAACAAAAAAGAGGTTTGCTTCATCTCTACTCTGTGATACTCTTACAGAGTAGAAGATTCAAAAGAACAGACACAAATTAAAATTAATCCTTGTGTTTTCTGCTTTTAGGATCTGCTTGACTCTGACATTTTTTGTTTACTTTTTTCATTTCAGGTAGTTGGAGGGAAAGCTAAACAAGAATCTGCAAATAAACTAGAAGCTTCTAATCTTGTGCTGTCTGTTATCGGAAATACTCAAACTAATGGACCTTTTAGTTCTGATGAAGATGAAACCTTTCAGTCAGTTGATAGCAAAAGAGTGGTTTCTTATAATGACACTGGCACACAAGCCACATTCACCAGGACTTATGATGGGGCCAGCAGTCAGTCAGAGATGTGTGAAAAGTCTGTTTATATCCCTCTTGAAAGTAGAGTTGATATTTTGCATACAACAGTGCAGACAAACACAAATGCTTTACAAGACCTTATCCAGTGTAGCAGCCCTATAAACAATGAATGTGAGTCCTCCTTGGAAAAGACAGATGATAATATGGAGTATGTGATGATTAATTTAGAACCAGTTACTTTCACTTTAGAAAAAGATGCCTGTGTACCAGTACATACAGAAGTAAATAGAGGCGAGAAACCTTTACCCTTTAGTAGTGAATTGATTAACCAAATGTTACCTGCTGCAGATGTTAGGCATCCTATATCTGCATTGGAAGAGGCACAAACACAAGCTGTTAGGGACATTCCATCTCTAGCAATGGCAGGACAGAAAAGCACTAAGTACCTTTCTGCCTCTTCAGGAAAAAGAGAGATACTTGATGAAGAACTGCTTTTGTCACAGAAAGAGATGACTCTTCCAGTCTCATCACCATCGTCTGATAAAGCATTGATAATGGAGGCATTATCATTAGTTAAGTGTTCTAGTTATCCATTACCCAGTGAAGAAATGAAACACTCTCAAGATATCTGTCTGCAGACTCAGAATCTCTTTAGCATATCTTCAGAGGAGATTATAGAGCCATCACAGATTGAAGTAGTCTCACCATCAGTCTCTGCCTCCTTGGGAAAAAGGTATTCCAATGATTGTGTTCCACCAAAAACTAATATACCAGATGACTCTTTAGAACTAAGGAAGAATGACAAGAGTAGTTTAAACTGTGAAAATGTGAATTTGGAATCTTTCAATGCAGTATTTGCCAAACAAACCAATTTGCTTATAAATGGGCAGGAGATTGGTCTGGAGTTACAAGAGGAAAATTCTGATATTGACCTAACTCTAACAATATCTCCACCTACAAGTCCCAGGGGAAAAGTGCCAGCTAATGAAACAAAGCAACTTCAGGAGGCCACAGGGTCAAATTTAGAACTTAAGGATATAGCTGAAGAAATAATTGAGCCAAAAGAGGTGACCCTCATAGAAAAAACAGAAGAGAATCCAGCTAGTTCTATGTCAGCTTATTCTACAGTGTCAAAAGAACCACTAGAAAATGAGAGAAAAGGTGATAGTTTACAACCAATTACTTTAATACTTTCCAAAGAAAATTGTACCCTTGAGATTGGGGAGGAAATTAATGTTACCTCTGACTTTCCCTATGGTTCTTTAATTGAAGAAGTGTCACCATCTTCTAGTCCTGATCCCCTAGTACCAATTGAAGAAGCACGGCCATCTCAGGTTGTTTCTCCATGTAGTTTAAAACTTCATGGTACACAGTGTGAAAAAAGTAACAAATTCTCCCAGATTGAGTCAGAAGATATAGCTGTAACAGAAAAAGAAAATTCTTTTGTTGATCCTTCCCATCTAGTGAGACAAGAGAACACAACTCAACTACAGCAAATTCAGCTCTCTGTTAAAATGCCTCTAATATTAACTAATCATCCAGGAAGAAAAGGTAGACTAATGTTTCCTGGTAAAATAACTGAGGAAATTGTCCCAAGGGAGCATGGTGAAGGTTTATCTTTCTCAGAAAAGGTGCAGTGCTATGGTACAGAGTTAAACAAGCCTGGCTTAATTGCCAATTATGGAGATAACTTCAAGCCTTCTCTTGAAAAACTGGTAAAATCAGGAAACCCATTGCAGCCAATTAGTATAGAGAATAGAAATTTGGGCTTAAAACATCTTGTCTTAGAGTCACATGAACCCTCATTTAGTTCTAGAAAGAGTATTGAAAATAAGTCTTTGGCTGAGGCATTGGTTTCTACAACTTCTCTAAGTGGGATAGTGAATATACCATTAAAAGAACAAGGCAGCCCTGAAAGCATTAAGGAAAAACTCTGTAATAGTGACTTGAAAACAGATGGTGGCAGTTATATGCAGGTGAAGTCTGTGAGCTCTGTCTCCATTGATGAAGCTGATGTTACACAGGCATACTTGCATCCAGAGATCCCAGAGTTTGGTTCTGCTTCAGATAGTGCTACGTTCACACAGTGTACAAGACCAGAAAGTATAGAGCCAGGGTTTCAGACACAGGAAATATCAGTCATCAGAATGGCCAGTCTGTTTGGGAATAGCAGAACTGAAGCTGAGTTACATGAAGAAGGCACAGATGTGGATGCCATCAGCCTTCAGTCTAACTCCACAGCTTCTACAAAAGGTGAAGAAAAAACAGTCCACACATTGTCAGATACCTCAGTATGCGAAATGAAAGAGCTGTTGAAGGGTGAGTTTATGCCCACGTATGCTTGTTCTTACCAAAGTACTATAGACACCAGTGAAGAACCTTCTGCCTTTGTTTCAGAATCTATTGAAACTCTTGTTTATGGGGTTTCTAAAGAGCATATTGACAGGAAGACTACTAGTGAAGGCCATAGGAATGAGGCGGATGCTAAAATCCTGGACAGGAATGTAGATGCAAATATGAATTCTGACAAGCACTATGAACCACTTTCTGGAGACTCTGATCAAGACTCTTTCAATAATTGTAGAAATCCCAGATTAGATATGGAAAATTCAGGCATTTTGGGTAGTTACACTAGCAAAAATGAACATGCTGCAAAAGATGGCTATTACTCTCTCATGTGCTTAAATAACAGTGATAATGAAGCTTGTGACTATTCTAACAAAGTTCCAGGGGTGAAGATGAACATTCCTCCCAGAAACTGGGCCACTGGATTAAAGAAAGCAGATGAGTGTATGCCACATTATGTCCAAATCCGAGATCGCCATGGTATCCTCAGGACTTATGCTAACTTTACTGTAACAAGAGAACTCAAAGACATGACAAGAACTTTGCATAGGGTGAGGAGGCATCCTAGTTTCACTCTAAACTCTGACCTCAGCTCCTGGATGAGCACTTGGCAGGTGGCAGATGACCTCACTCAGAACACTTTAGACCTGGAGTATCTGCGTTTTACACATAAGATAAAACAACTAGTGAAGAAGGAAGGTTCTCGGCAGACTGACTCACCTCTGGAAATTTTGTTGAGAGATTTCCCTTTGACAGAAAAGTCTGAGCCCCCAGTTCTGCATCCTACACCTAGGAACAGAAGCCCCATTCTGGTAACAGTCATGCACACTGATGCCAGATGGCAGAGTTGCCACAGAAGTGGCCATACACCCAGCGATCTGGACAGCTCTTCCTCTTTTTGGAAGGAAAGATGTAGTCACAGTAGAAATCTTACAAATTCTCAAAGAAAGCAAACTGTTTCGTTCCACCTCAACAAACTGAAATACAACAGTACTTTGAAAGAATCTCGGAATGATATTTCACTTATTCTTAATGAATATGCTGAGTTCAATAAGGTGGTGATGAACAGCAATTACGCTGATTTCCAAGATAAAGAGTTAAACATGGCTTCTGAAGAAGCCACATTCCAAGAGACGTATCCGTCTTTCTCAAGACAGTCCACCTCCTATGAAGACATAATTACAGACTTATGTGCCAGTTTGCATACCAAACTAAATAGTGTTCTGAAAGAGGCTTGTAAGAGTCCCTTCTTCTTCTACCTTGTTGAAACAGGAGACAAACCATTCTTTTTAAGAACAAAGGTAAGGTGCCAGCTATTCTTACATTTTCTATTATCTTGATTGCCTTCTAATTCAGTTTATTTTAGAAGTAATAAAAGTTTCAGCTTTAAAATGAGGTGGTATTTAGGTTTTACAGCTCAGTCTAAGTGCATACCAAATTTTTTCTGTAAGGATCTCCATCTTTACTATATTTGAATATTACATGATGTTCCGGAATTAGTGCAATAATTGGTTATCACAAAAATTTACCAGTATAAGCATGCTTATAATCAAGTATAAATACAAACATTTTTACTACTAAAATACAGATTTTTTCAAAAATTAATTACCTGTGTTCCTCTAGTAGTGTGGATCATTGAGAAGGACTAGGGTTAAGGATATGTTTTTCTATATTTGATTATTAGAACAACTGATATTCTTGTGAGTACATGATCTTTAATCTTCAGTGATATAACCATAGTGAAATCCTGACTTTGGAGAAGCTAGAATCTGTTTTGTTTTTTTTTTGTACCAGGGATTGAACTCAGGTGTTTGTGCTTGTGCAGCAGGTGGCGAAACCACTGAGCTAAATCCCCGGCCTAGAATCTGTTTTTGAATGCACAGTTGGCTTTTTTATTTTATCTTCTCAGAATTTACTTCTATATTTGAGATATAGACAGCACTTTATTTAAAATAACTTCAAATTTATGTAAAGGTTGCAGAAATGGTACCCTTCAACTAGATACCTTAATATTAACATTTCTGAACCATTTACAAAGTATGCATTACCTGTGTACAAGATACTCTTCTATATAATCATAGTGTAACCATAAATATCAGGAAGTTAACATTAATCCAGTATGACCATCTGCTCCACAGATCCCACTGTAGTCATGTCTTCAATTTGAAATAGTTCCTCTCCCATTACTTTTATTACCATGACTGTTTGTAAGGCCAGCTATTATATAGAGTTTCCTTCGATTTGTGTTGATGTGTTATTTCCTTATTTGTGCATTTTAGACAAGATATGATACTGTGGTCTCTTGGTGCATCGTATTATGAAGCACCTCGTGTGTTTGTCTCTTTATTGATATATTAACGTTTTTACTTGGTTAAGATGATCTCTGTCAGGTTTCTCAATGTAAAGTTAATTAATAAGCATGTTAAAGTTATTAGTAACAGTTGAGATACTTGAGACTATGTAAATACATAATCCAGTTCTTTAGAATTTTACCCGATTTAACATCTATTTAAGATTCTAATCTGAATCAGTTATTACTATGATATTTGGTTGCCACTTAGTATTTTAATTTCATCATTTTACATTTGTTAATTGGGATTCTACTGCATGGTAGACTTTTCTCCTCTCCCATTCATTCACTTATATTAGTGTGGACCATGGTCTGTGTTATACTCAAAAGATTGCTATCTGTTCCTTCATTTTTTTTAACGATGAAATTGGCCAAGACCCAGCCAGTGGGAGTGGCATTGAGCTGGCTTCCGTGCATTTAATGTTTCTATAATTCTTTGGGTACTTCCTTACTTTGTAGTACAACATGATGTTTCAGGCTTCTTTTATATTTTCCTTGCCCCAGGCTTGGAAAATGGCACGTAACAAGCCTTAATGTGAAGCTGTCCATTGCAAGTCATATTTATTCTTCTGTAAGACGGCTACTACTTTGTGTCATTCAAATATGATGCTAAATGATTTAAATTTTTTTCACATTTATGGACTCTGTTCTTTAACATAACTGCCCATACACATACACACACACACACACCCCTACACCTTCTGTTGCCAAGTATGCTTTTGTTCTCTGAGGTTCTTAATAAATAGCTGCTGAATTTGGTTTCTTCTTTTCTCCACCTTCTTGTTTTTGTTCCAAGCTCCTTGCCATTTTGGTAAACAGTGTAGTTGAAAAGATAAAACATTGAATAACTTTCAGCTTTTCTGAAGGTGCTTGGCCTCCAGAAGCAGTCTGGAAGTTAATCTATTTTCTCTTTTAAAGTTAATTTTGTTAATTATACGTCCTGTACCCCAACATGTGTGGGATGAGTCAGGAATGAGTAACCAGCTGAGTTAGCATCATGAGAATATTACTTGTTTTGCTGTGGTGAGTAAAATACTTGGTTTCTTTGTTTCCATTTTAAAAGCAAGAGAAGAGTAATCTTAGTTTTCACTTCCTTTCCAGAGCAGATGATACTGATTTTTTTACATCCAAAGGAGATCACGGCAGTGTTTTAGTAGGAGTACTTCTAGTTATGCTTGTTTATTTATAACAGTAACAGATTTGGTGCAGAGGTAAAATTGAATTTAAGTTGACAAAGTGAACACATCCTAAAATAAACTGGACAATAACATACTATCAAGAGCAAAAAGTTTTTAAGAGCTCAGAAACATACTCTTCATAATTCTTTCGACTTGGGGAGTCTTGAAGCATAGTGGTGAGATGCTAGGCCTGTCTATTAATAAGATGATTAAGATCTGCAGGTTCTTTTTTACTAATGAAATTAGAGTGCACAGCCCAGAATGTCACAGGATTTGATGAAAAGTTATTCATTCTAATGGTTTATTAGTAAAACAAGTGACAGATGGAGATTTATATTTAGATATTTCATTAGGCTATTAAAGAAATTTTATACAAATTTCTTTGAAAATCATAGGATATGTTGTGGTAATGAGATAGTCAAAATTTGTTGAGAATCCTATGCAGATGGGTCAAAGTAACATTTTTTTCATACATGAAATAAATGATGGTTAGACAATGTTTTGGGGATAACTGAGGCCTTGGAAACCAAAAATCCTTCAGATAGAAACATCATGTCAAAGTCACAAGGGAAGGCAGAGTTGAATAGTGCATTGATTATACAAATAGACATTCCCGCTGAAGCTTCATATTGGAGAGCTGTTCTGTGTGATGGTAGTAAACTGTCACACCCGTGCCTTATAACCACATGCAGTTTAAACTATCACCTATCTTACTTAGAGATGCAATTCCAAAGAACTGTTCATTCTCTCCAAAGTCAGTCCCCATTTGTGATAAAGGAATGCATAGGTGGTATTTTTTAAAGTTCTGGAAATGTTGTGACTAGAGGTGACATTTTATTTTTATTATTTTAGGGTTTTTTTGAGACAGGGTCTTGCTTTGAAGTACAGGCTGGCCTTGAACTTAACATGTAACCTAGACTGGCCTTGATAGAGTTGGCATTTTAAATGCAAATATATGGCATCCCCAAAGTATCTCACACCCTTGAAACTGACTTATATGGATTAGTTTTGTTTTTTGATATTTTTTAATTTTTTTATGTTTCATAGACATTAAAGATTTATTAAAAACTGCATTATGTTTGAAATAAACTTCTGAATCTAATTGTAGCTGAGTCATTTTTAATGATTAAAACTTACTAATGAAAGAAATTACTATTTATGTTGCCTTGTTAGGAACTAATTTAGTAAACAGGGTTTGCTTTTTTGATGGATTATTTTAAATAAACTATAAAGTTCTGTGCAAGTATCCTCTTTTTAGTAATGGCTGCTTGTAAATCTTTCAGAGCATTCTGAGGAAAGGAGGCCATACAGAAATTGAACCTCAGCATTTCTGTCACACTTTTCACAGAGAGAATGATACTCTAGTAGTCATCATTAGAAATGAAGATATATCATCACATTTGCATCAGGTAAGTTTGCACATATCCTTCATACAAAGATGTATGTTCTAGGCACTGAAGTTCTGCAGTATCAAACTTGTCTCTGCCTTTCTGTCTAGGGAAGGAGCTTACACATATGGCATACATACAGTCCCATTGCACCTTCAGATAATAGTTAGGAATCTACTCATATTAACTAAGAGAGAATTATGAAAAGAAGTGAGAGATTGCTAAATTTTTTGTGACGGACCAGCCATCACCAGTCGAACAGTTCCTGAATGGGGGAAAGGAGGACTGAGAAAAATCAAGAGAAGAGACAGAGTCGGGAGGGCTCCCAAGACCGAGCAAGCAAGTTTATTTACACCTCGCTTTTATACACTCAGCGAGTTAGGTCATTAGTCATGACCTTTATACAAAAAAACACCTGCTTCCTTGTTTGCTAGTTTTCTAGACACTCCTCGCCCTCATGGGCTGCTTTGTTTCCTGGGGTTACAGAAGGTTCATCTTGTTGCTAGGGCAATCTCTAAAGGGAAACATCGGAGTTAGCGGAGACGTGGTTCCCCATTACATAGTCTCCTGGCTATTTATAACAGAGGGTAAAATTAAAATGGAACTTTTTGGCTGACACCGCTCCCCACAATTTTTCACTTGGTATGAATCTGTATCACTCCCTGTCTAACAATAAGAAATCTTGTTTAAAAATTTTGGTCTTGTGAGAGCTAGGCATAGTGGCAAACACCAGTTCCAGCACTATTGGAAGCTGAGGCAGGAGGATCACAACTCAAGGCCAGCCTGGGCAACTTAGTCACTTAGTGATACTCTACCTGAAAATAAAAAATAAAGACTGGAGCTGTAGCTTAGTGCAAAGGCCCTGGGTTCAGTCCCCAGTTAACACACACATACACAAAGGACATGTGAAAGTTTTCTTGACTTAGTAACTGGTAAAACATCCAGCTTATGGACATAGGCTAGGTACATTATTCTGCTGCTGTCCGGCTATGACATGAGCCTGGATAAAGAAAATTATGTTGTTTGTGTCCTGGGTGGTTTTTTTAACAGAAACCCAAAACCTCAGATGTACTCTTCCCTTAGGAATCATTATTTCTTGCCTTTGAGAATTTTTAAAAAAATAATCTTAACTTGTTTGTAACAACAGGTGATGAATGGAAAATAATCTGTGTGTGGCCAGGATATCAGGCAGTAGCCCAGGTTAAATGTATTTTTAGCTGTTTCAAGCATCAAAATCCTTGAATAGATGCACCTATCTTCATGGGGTCCCTTTATGTCTAACAGATTCCTTCTCTGCTGAAGCTGAAGCACCTCCCTGGTGTCATCTTTGCTGGAGTAGACAACCCTGAAGATGTTCTGAATGACACACACCAAGAGCTGTTTCACACAGGAGGCTTTGTGGTATCAGATGACAAAATACTGGAAACTGTAACATTAGGTTGGTTTTTCATTTTTTTATTCTTGTTTTATTGCAATCCAGTCAGGTAATTTTTTCCTCAGTGATCCCACTATTATTTCATCAAAAAGATACCACCTTTAAAGAATATGAGCTACTGGGGCCAGGGATGTAGCTCAGTGGCACTGCGTCTGCCTGGCAAGTGCAAGGTCCTGAGTTTAATCTCCGGTACTGGAAAAAAAAAATAAAAGAGAATATGAGCTACTGCACGTTGAGGACTTAGTTTATGCCAACTGCTGTGCTAAGCACTTTTTATGTAGTAATTCTCTTATAGTAGTGCTCTTACTTCTTTCACCTGATTATCTTCATCTCCAAACCTGCTTCTAAGTTCCTTTCTTCTCAGTGTGGCTGCACACTCATACAGATTTGAGGGAGAGGTTTTTCACACTTAACTCTTTCACTTGTCAAACCAAGTCAGCCACATGCTAAATTTTTGCTTAGAATTAGCTGTTCTCCATTTCCAGCGGCATTGCCCCTACCCTCTTGTTGATATAGATATCTAAAAATTGTTACCAAAAGTCAGTGTTTAATCATCTCCTTGAACACTCACACAGAATTTACTCCTCTCAGTGCAGGGATTTTTATACATAATACAGATATTGTGGGCAACTGTCTTATTGATTATCCCCAAAGCAGGCTGTAAGCAGTGTAGGCTGTAAAGAGTTAACCCAACAGTTGCCTCATTTTAAGAAGCAAGTCGAACCGAAGCTTATGTGACTCACAGAAGCACCTCATAAGCACGAAGGTAGCATGCCTGTTAGCATGACCTTCCTGCTAATAGCCACAGCAGAGACCAGAGAAATTGCCTGTGAAGCTGTGGGGCTCAATATGACATAACATAGTAGCTGAGGTCAGAGTAACTCGCACCCAAATTCCATTTTCACAACTAAAACTTTTTTTTTTTAATTTTATTGGTATGTTTTAGGTTCACATTATAATGACATACATCATTGGAAATTTGCACCTTTACATAATCTCTCTTGGTTCTTATTTTTTCCCCATTCCCCTGCCCTCCCTTCAACCCCTCCATCCCTCCCTATTTAAAAGATTTTGTTTCAATTTTTTTATTTTCTCATATTAATTCCATTCCCTTCTTTCCTTTCCCCTAGCCCTCCCACTTCCCCTTTGCCCCTATTCTTCCTCTTTCACATTATCTATTATACCTTTTAGTCCTTATTTATACTTTCAGTTTCTCACACTAGAGAAACTATTCAGTATTTACCTATGTATGTCCTATTTATTTCACTCAAGAGTATGGCCTCAATGTGCATCCATTTAGCTATAAATATCTCTAATTTCTCATTTTTTATGGCTGAGTAGTACTCCATTTTATTAAAAAACCACAGTTTCTTTATCCAGTCTCCAGGTGATAAGCAATTGGGCTGTTTCCAAGTTTTAGCTATTACACATTGTGCTGCTATGAACATGGGTGCACATATATCACTGTGGTATGATTCTTTTAATTCTTTGAGGAAGATACCCAACAGGAGAATAGCTGGGTCAAATGGTACTTCAGTCCTAGTTCTTTAAGGTATCTCCATACTGATTTCCACAGTGGTTGTGCCCTTGTGAGAGTTCATACTGCCCAATCACGTGTAAATGGTAGTGGTGGTGTATACTCAACAGTGGAATTTATTTTTTACAAGTGATAATTACTGGACTTTGCATCAGCTAACAAAAACTAAAACATCTCTTGCTGAACTTAACTCTATAGCTCAGCTGAAGGAAATTGTCAAAATCCTGGAAAAACTAAATGGAAACGGAAGATGGAAGTGGTTGCTTCACTACAGAGAAAATAAAAAGCTAAAGGAAGATGTAAGGTAAGAACTTTGTGTCGGGGTGGGGGTTGAAATTGCCTCATGCTCCATATGGTGTAGGCTAATTTCACTGCAAGTGCTTACAGGCAGGTGAGTGATGCTGGAATGAAAGTCACCTTCATCACTAAACAGGTCTCCTGGTTACACGTATTGTGTTTTCTTCTTTAGCTGGGCATCCAAGAAGGAAGCTGTCTATTTTAACAGTAAGTGAGCCAAGCACTTCTCTATAATAATAGCAATCAGTCAAACTTAGGAGTCATAAAATATTTGTATAATTAAGATTCAGGCTGTACTATCATGAACCATAAAAAAATACACTATGGGCTTGATGCATTAGGGTTTTTAAAATATTTATTCATATATTAAACTGCTGGTTACAAAGAGTAGAAAAAGAAGCTAGAATTTTGCCTTAATTCAATTTTACCCTTAAATAAGAGGTTACAAATAGAGTTCTTTACATCTAAAGCAATGATTTTAGGTGTCATGTATTTTTTTTTTTCTTTTTTCTCAGTACCGGAAATTGAACTCAAGACCTTGTGCTTGCCAGGCAGGCATGGTGCTGCTGAGCTACATCCCCGGCTCCTAAAACAGTGATTTTTAAAAGAAGAAATTTTGATTCCTTGGCCAAAGAGAACTAGGGTCTGTGGGGGTTCCTTCCTATCCAAGGCATGCCTCCAAGTTCTCCCAGGCCAGAGAAAAGACTGGGAAAGGAACCTGGGCTTATAGGCAGTCTTGGAAAGCATACAGATTGGACAAGCCATTAACTGGTGAAAATGTCAGGCACTGGTGTTTTTACATTGGCCACCTCATTCAGCTTCATCCTGAGGTGGTAGATAGTAAATTCTTCTTTCATAGTACAGAAGTTGAAGCACCTAGAAAGCAATAAACTTGACCATGGTCAAACAACTAATTTTGAATCTGGCCCTCAACTCCAAATGTTCACCTCTAACGACAGTTGTTTACCTGTTTTTTACCCTATTTCTTTCTCCAACAAACTGGGAGTAAATATAGGTAAAACTGTAAGAGTACATAAGATTTTCCTTTAAAAGAAAGGAGGATAGATAGGTACACATGTAATCTTAGCAACTCAGAAGGCTGAGGCAGAAGGATGGCAAGTTTGAGGCTAGCTTAGAGAGATCCTGTCTCAAAAATACTTTTTAGAAGGGGGTGGGAATATAACTCATTTCAAGGCCTGCATTTAATTGTGTACTGCAAAAAAATGGATAAAATTTCAGGAAAGGCTTTCCCTTGGAGCATAGTTTTCACTGGTAGGAGGGTAAGAATAGGTGTAAATGCGTAAGCAGGCCAGAGTGTGACCAGAAATTCAGAAGACCAGGCTGGGGGTGGTGGTGCGTGTCTGTAATCCTAGCACTTGGGAGGCTGAGGCAGGAGGATCACCAAGAGTTCTGAGGCCAGCCTGGGCTATAAAAGTGAGTTCAAAGCCAGCCTGAACTACATACCAAGATCCTGTCTCAAAAAAAAAAAAAAAAAAGAAAGTCTTGTTAACCAGCCCTTTAGGGGAAAGTTCAACTTCAGTTATAACTAGAGAAGTGCAGCCAAGCCTGATGGCACACACCTGTAATCCCAGCAATCAAGGAGGCTGAAGCAGAAATATCATAAGTCCCAGGCTAGCCTCAGCAGCTTAGTGATTCATTGAGAACCTGTCTCAAAAAATGGCTGGGGATATAGCTCAGTGCATAGCCCTTGGGTTCAATTTTCCATTATCACCAAAATAAAGACTAAAAAAGTACATTAAAGGTAAGGTACCATAGCACATCTATAAATTAGTAAGTATAAATTAATTTAAATTTTATTAGAATTCAGGGTGCATTTTCCTACAAGAGAAGAGAAAGTATATACTAACAGGATTTTAAGGGAGGTGAGAAACTTAAGAAAATTCTGGCTGCTGCCTAAATTTAATAAAGTTGGTGATTATGTGATCATAGGACATAAGTATAGATGTTTGTTTTTTTGTTTTGTTTTGTATTTGAGACAGGGTCTTGCTATGTAGTTCAGGCTAGCCTTGAACTCACAGGAATTCTCCTGCCTCAGCCAGACAAGTGCTGGGATTACAGGTGTGCACCACCACACCTGGTCGTACAGATGTTTTAAAGAGATATATTACTAAACAAATATTTAATGCAGAAATCTCCACTACAAGTCAATAAAAGGTTTGCCAAGCCACATAGTTTGAAGTGACGATAGGTAAATGTGTGATGTCTTTCTGCCTTGAAATGAGTCTCAGATTTGCAATCTGCATTTACAAAGGAGTGGCTACAGTAATAGTAACATTTTGAAGCAACTTACAGACAGCACAGTGACACTCAGGAGGCCAAGTATTTCTCAAAGAACATTGAGAAGAAAAGAGCAAGATCTCTTTGTGCTTTTAACACAAAAAAGCAAGAAAAAAATCCTAGAAATAAGACAAATGAAAATTAAGCTTTATTTACTAAGAAATACATAAATGGGTCACAAAGTTATATTGAAGGTATGGCTGTTAACTTTCCTGTTTTCCACAGAATGGATTCAGTTGCTCATAAAAAGAACTTAATATTGAGATCATATCAGAGTGCAAATATCATTGAATTGCTTCCCTACCACCAGTGTGACTCCCAATCACAAACAAAAGCAGAAATTTTGAAATGTTTGATAAACCTACAAATTCAGCATGTTGATGCCAGATTTGCTGTCTTCCTAACAGGTAAATTCAGTCTGAGTTCTGTCTAAATTTCAGTGCTCTAGAAATGTCCTTCAGAGTAGAATCATTGAATTCCTAACATACGTGCAAAAATCCCATAGCTGGCAGCCAAAAACAAACTTTTAGCTTGGTGTGTTTTGACAAATGCACATAAGACTAGAGAGGACTGGCCAGGTGTATGGAGAGTTCATGTAGCTAATATTCCTCTAATAAGTTTCATCAGCTCCAGTAAGTACTTTCGTTTTCTGTTAATCTTATAAAAAGTTTATTTCTACAAAAGTGGTCAATGAGCAATTTTCAGTTTCTTCTATCATCCATCATGAACACAGCAGCTCCCAAAGTTTTTTTTTTTTAGCTTCTTTTTTCTTAACTTTGAACCAGATAGGTATTATGAAGAACTCCACGTAAGCTTTTTTTTTCTTAAAGAATAAACTTCAGAAAACATGTGAATAACATTTTTCAAACCAAAAAACCTTTTTCTCCTTTACAGATAAGCATATCTCCAGTGAAGTCTTTGGAAATAATGGAATCCTTGCTACAGATGTAAATAACTTCATTGAGAATATACAAAAAATAGCAGCTCCATTTAGAAGCAGCTATTGGTAAGAATACTTTCCGTGTAATTCCTATGCAACTTTGAGTTGTTGGCATCAGACACTAACATGTGCCTGTGGGAAACACTTGTTCAAAAACTGCTCTTCACAATATACATCATGTTATATTTTTTTAGGCATGGAAATACTGTTAGCATCCTTAATGATCTCTAGTGAGATAGCCAACTTACTATGAATTACTACTGGTAGTTAACCTGGCTTGCCAGGGCACAGAACAATGTAATCTTAATATGCATAAAAGTTTGCCCTATTAGATATAGAACCCCATTTGTAAAATAGTTCTTGTTCATTTTGTCTTACCAATGTTGTGTTTATACAGGTGATGTAGCTGCACCTTTCCTACACATGGAGGATGCCACCAACAAAACAGTATTGTCCTCCTATTAAAAAAAAAAACTTCCGTGATACAGTCTCCTCATTTGAAAACTCAGTGTTCTACAACTTGGAACGTTTTCCTTCATTTTTTATATTTGGCTAGAATATCTAACTTTACAATGGCAGTTAGTTGCCATTAGCTTTGGGTTGCAGTGTTGAATACTGTTTAAATTAGTTTCATTTGAAACATTACATCTTCAAAGCTATAAACTGAACAAGAATTTTATAACATATTTAGTAGGAGCAAGAATAAATATTTTAGCAAATAGGTTTTTTTTGCATGATAATGTCTGAAAAGCATATGAAATGCATGTTGTGTGGTGTTTTCAAAATTTTACCACCCTTGGTCTGGGGATGTGGCTCAGCGGCACCAGGCCTGCCTGGCAACCGCAAGGTCCTAAGTTAGATCCCTGGTACTAAAAATAAAAAAAGTTTTACCGCTCTTGTAAAGAACTGTAATTTTTTTAAAATGGTTTTATTTGCTGTTAAACAAGCAACACTACACACTTTTTTCCTAAATGATACCCATTTACAAACTTTTCCACTTACTCAGTTCTTGTTACTACACTACTTCAAATAATCATTTATTTATGATATTAGAAGTAATTTCTACAGTAATCTTTAAAATGCAAAAACCATTTGTAAAAGATGCACAGGTATCTTTTTGGGGCAACGGGTTTTTATAACTGATCTGTTTCATTTTTTAATAAAGACAACTAAAATTCATTCTTTCTACAGTTATTTTTTTAGCAAAAATTATGAACTTGTATGAAATGTCTTAGCAATTTTAGGATTAACTAGCTTCCAGGGGCATCCTAACACTTAGATCAGTTTGGCCTGGCTTCTATTGCTCTAGCTACCACAAACCTACTGCAAGCATCTGGTGTTTTTTCCCTCCCAAAATCAGGTACACTGAGTAGCCAGCTACAGACAGGAAATTTCAAGTGCCCTTTCTATGAGACTGTGCAGCCATTTAACTGTTTTGTATTTTCCTACTATTCTACTTAACGAAAGTGCCAGTTTTATTGTATTTTTCAACAGAAGGACCACCACCACTTTTTACTATTTCCCCCAAAACAAGAAGTTATTTGGGGACCATAACTACATTTGGTATAGTAAATTATTTTGATACAACTACTAAGAAAAAGGAAAATAAAATTAAGCACCTACTACTTGCCAAACACTGTTTGCCTAGTACTAGTTATACCTGAAATGTTTAGCAAAAAGGCTGTCCTTTTTCATTTCAAAGATGCCTTTTTTTATAACTTACCATATAATAACGTCTCCCCTGAACCGTGAACTTCCTCAGAGAATTGCACCTTCATCAAACTTTGTGCTCTCCAGCCCTGGCACGTGAAATTTATGACGTATGTTGAAGAATATGAAAATATTTTCGTCTGTTTTGCTTTTATTACTAACTCAGCTCATGGTTTTGCCAGCATTACAGTTCACAATTAGAAATATTATAGGAAGTGAAGGGAAAAGCTGCTAGAACTTTTAATTTTCTCGTGTAAATAAATCAGTGATTGTCATCTGGAGGCATCTGATTCTAGAGATACTCTAGGTTGTCATTTTAGGAAAGTGCTGTTGGGTTTCTACAGTACACCAGAGAGCCCCACCACAATGGGATCTGCCTCAAAATGTCACTAGTGGGAAGCAAAGGAACTCTGTGTTAATCACATAGACGATCTGAATAACAAATTATCATCACCCTCTTCCATCTACCAGGTCACCTACTTTCCTTACTTCATATTTAATATATTTTAAGTATAGCAAACAGCTATATATTTATATATAGTAAGGCTTAACATTATGGAGAAAGGCTGTATCAGCAAAAAATAGTTCTGTCATTTAAAGTACATGGTTATTTAAGTACCTATAAAAGAATTCATTTATAATTGTTGCTATAAACAACATTTATCGTGCTCGCCCTCAGTCCCTGCCGGCGCCGCGGGGCATGAGCAGGGTGGTGCGGGGGCAGGTTTATGTCGCCCGCAGTGGGACGATGCGCAAGTACAAAGTGGTGGTGCTGGGCTCGGGCAGGGTGGCCAAATCCGCCCTGACCGTGCAGTTCGTGACTGGCACCTTCATCGAGAAATACGACCCCACCATCGAAGACTTCTACCGCAAGGAGATCGAGGTGGACTCGTCGCCGTCGGTGCTGGAGATCTTGGACACGGCGGGCACCGAGCAGTTCGCGTCCATGTGGGACCTGTACATCAAGAACGGCCAGGGCTTCATCCTCATCTACAGCCTGGTCAACCAGCAGAGCTTCCAGGACATCAAGCCCTTGCAGGATCAGATCATCCGCGTGAAGCGTTATGAGAGTGCCAGTCATCTTGGTTGGGAACAAAGTGGACCTGGAGAGTGAGAGAGAAGTATCCTCCAATGAAGGCCGAGCCCTTGCCGAAGAGTGGGGCTGTCCCTTTATGGAGACTTCTGCTAAGAGTAAAACAATGGTGGACGAACTCTTTGCAGAAATTGAGGCAGATGAACTATGCTGCTCAGCCTGACAAAGATGATCCATGCTGTTCTGCCTGTAACATACAATAGCATCCAAATATGGCCGTCCTGTACAGGACTTGCCCAGTACAGGACTTGCCCAGTATCAGAGGCGATAGACTTCGCCTACCACATTGCAGAGTTGGCAGGATGTGTATTGTGCAACTACAGTGCACTGCAGCCCTTATTCAGAAATGAGCAGTGATTGTCAGTTGATGTCTTTGAGTACATTTGGGTTCAGTAACTACAGTTTTCACCATTGTCCTCAGCCTCCTTTATGCATCTGCAACTTGAAGGCATAGCCCATCGATCTACAGGGTGATCTCATTTGAAAGCGATGATGGCATTGTCGCTGAGTTGACAGAAGCAACTATTGTATAAATTCAACTGAATCAGGGAGAAATCAGAATTCCTCTGACCACTCAGTTAAATATTTTGTCTTCTTTACAAAAAACATAACTAAAGGAGAATATTTTCCTACGAGAGTACTGAATTTCAGGAATTGGGAGAGAGCTCCTAACCAGTGTATTCCGGCAAGTAACATAACAGCTGGCCTGCCAACAGCATTGCAGGGAGAGTCTGCATAGCTGACACATGTCTGTTTTTCAAAATTGATGCTTAATTGTAGATGTTATCCTAATTTGTGACATAGTACTAACTCACACATCAATCCTGATAGAGCAAAAGTCAGAACAAAGTTGTGTGAAAATACAGTCTGGCTTTGGAATTTGTTAAGTCACCTGCTTTGCCACAGAAAATGGAGGCTCTCACAAGGGTTTGACCAGAATTAAAATCCCAAACCCACCCTCTGTTAACCAAGCAGGGATGGTCTTTATTTCCTGAGCAAGAAGGAAGCAACTGAGATGGAGAGATTGCCTAGCCTTACTAACAAGAAGCATTCTAGTAGCTTAACTAGTACCATCATGTAAGGAAAATGAAGCCGTGTTGCAGTTACATGTTCCCGTTTGCAGAAACCTCACAGGACAGTACAAATATCTGGCATTTTTATGTTCGTTAAAGCAGCAAATTCCTTCTCACCTTTAAGGGCTATGGTGTGATGTGACCCTTGGCTAACCTGCTTTGGAAATCCAGTTTGCTGTAGCAGAGCTTTACTGCAGGCATTTAAACAATTGAATAACCATGTGAAATAATTTGGGCTTAAAAGTAGAACATAAATTATAGTGTGGAAGGTGAGGGACAAAAAGCCTTTTATCTTTAATTTTCCTGGAGAATTATATAAAGGTTTTCTTATAACAATTCTGCCCTGATTACTGAAGTGGAAAATAAAGCTGGAGTGAATATTTTGTTTTGAAAAGGTGCTCAAGCTCTGACATTTTTGGTTTTGATAGCTGTGAAGTATTTATCATTTGCATGAGTAATGGCACAGGAAAAACCTATTCAAAAGTTTGACAATCAAATGTGGAAAGGTTTTCACCTCACTTCAGAGTTAGAAATGCTGAAGCGTTGATCTCGAGCCCACTCTCTGGAGAGAAATTTGGCCTTCAGAACTGCAATATCACTGAGCCTGTGATATACTTAGCGCCCAAATTTTCTTGGTTCCACGGTCTTGTGGAAGTAACCTCTGGTCTTACGTGTGTAACTGAGGGAAGAGTGTGTGTCTGTGTGTGCATGTGTGTTTATCGTTCCTAAGAATTTGGCACAAGTCAGATAATTGCCTATACTGAGACTCTGTACTGCAGAATATAGTGTATCAAAAACATTTTTTTCTTTGAAATTATTTAAGGATCTTTTCTACATCCTGGAAATCATCGGTAACCACCAAGTGTTTAGTAACTGGCATCAGGCTTTAAAGGTAGAAAAAGGGTTGATAGTATTTTTCATAGATGAGAAAACTGAAGCAAAAATTTGAATAAAGCTAAACAATGTTTGTTAGAGAATCTTTGAATTGTGAATATTTACATTCTTCAGTATAAATTTTTTTATAATCTTCGATTACAAAGCACCTTGTTTATAGGACAAAAAAGTTTTAACTGGTTTTCTTCAGGCAAATTTCACCGTGTAAAAGTTGATTTGACCCAAACAGAATAATCAAAGATTCAAGAAGTATGATTTATCTACTGAAATAGAAATATTTGTTAGTAAATTGGTTGTTTTGAAGCTTTTAACTTCTAATAATGATTCTGTGTTTTAGAATTCCATAATACCAATTTGTGACAACTAATGTTGTGTATTAGAAACAGCCCTACAGACTCCAGTTTTATATCATGGATTGCTATGCAGACACGAAAAATAGGTGAAATAATGTGAAAGGTCTGGCAAAATGAGGTGGAAAAGACGATCAAATTTGGAGTTTTGACTGGAAACGTTTGTCAGACAGTAAGGTGGGCTTTTACTGTGAAGATGTTGCTAAGAACTGATTGGCCGCCTGATGAGTGTTTGCACGCAGCCCTATGTGTGTAGTGACAAGACATGAAAACTTCCCAGAAACCTCTGCCGTCATCGGCATGAATCCAAATCGCCGAGAATCCAAATCGCTGAGAATGAATACCCTTGCCAAGATGGGAATAAAAAGCTCAAGAGCAGGACGATTACACTTGTTGGCACATGAAATCATAGTGGCTACAGAGGAAAATTGGTGACCTGGGTCACTGCTTACGTTATGCCCTGATCAGACTGGCATCTAGGTAAGTGAAAGTTTTTCTAACATGCCTTAAAAATATTATGGTTTGATCCAAAGACCTACTATTTCTTTAGCTGTTGTGGTCAGGTTTTTCTTTTCTTTGGTTTTTTACTTTTATATAAAGGCAGCATTTTTTCTTAAATTTTTTTTTTCTCTTACTGTTGCGACTTTTGGGTTCCTTTAAGCTGTGATAGTGATGGTAACTGATGCCTTTCATTTTATTCAACTTACACAAAACAAGCCAGCATCTGATCAGAAGTATTATATAAAATCTTTCCTTAAACTGTTGAAAGGTGCTTTGATGATTTTTGTCCTTTGGTTTGTAGAATTAGGACTGAACCTTTGACTCTCTGCTACAGTTGCCATCATTTTTCTGTGGTAAAACTACTGATACTTGCTTTGCTATATAAAGAAATGTTGCCTAAGGATGTCTGGTATTTGTTTTCAAGGGTGGATTTTCCCCTTATGAATGTTGTCAGTGTCTGTGTGAACTGAGCGTTTCTCTGTTGGGTTTTGTTTTTTAGTTTTTTGTTCCTGTCAGTAGTCCTATGTTAGCACTGGTTAAGCTTTAATTGTCTCTTTAGCCAATCAAATGTTAAAGACTATGGGGGTCTTTTTCTTTTTCTTCTTTTTTTTTAACTGTCATCGTGCATCTATTAAATCTCGATCAGGGTTTTAAGAATGACTGCAGTAGGTTTTGAAAACAGACTTATCACTAATGATTTGGGGTTTCCCAGAGATTATAGTTCAGTTAGTTGTTGAGCTCTAATACAACTAACCATTTAAAATTGAACAACCATTTACTGTTCTATAATAATGTCAGTTGTTAAACCTTGACATTTCAGTTAAAACATGAATTGTAGTTATAACTCAATGCAAATTCAACAGTTGTATTTCGAGTTATTTTAACAAATAAATTTATTTAATAAAAAAAACATTTATCAATGGCAGTAACTTTTATTTGTATGGAAAAGAATACAGTGGACCCTTGACTTATGAATTCAGTTTGTTTGGGAGGGGGACTATTTTTCCCATAAGAAATACTGGAAATACTCATGTGTTCCAAACCTCAACTAACCTTTTCATAATAAAAGTGTTGTACAATGTGCATAATTTACCAGAACCAATAATTTTCCTAATGTATTAATCAAAAAGTTATAAAATGTGCCTGTATTACCAGAAACAACAATTTTATACTGTACTCACCATTCAAGTTGACATCTTTGGCTTGCAGGGAGGGAGGATGAAATGGAAGGTGGTTATTATTTGGAAGGAGAGTCCCCTTCCATAAGAACATCAGAAATCTGGGCCAGGGATTTAGCTCAGTGGTTCTGCCACCCTACCCGCAAGCACAAGGACCCAAGTTCAATCCCCAGTACCAAAAAACCCAAAGAAATCTGGCTCGCTCATGTCTTTTTTACCTGGTTATGCCTCACTAGGTCTCAACCTTTTCAGAACTAAAAACTGGTCTGAGGTTGTCTGTTTCTGTCTTTTTTCTAACACTGTTCTGTGGTATGACATAACAGGGTCATTAAGCAAGTGAATGCGACTTTTTCTCTGGGTGGGTCTTCTCTACAAATGTTTGTAGCTCTGTCCATTTTTTCAGGATTTCATTTCAGAACTTTGCTGCACCAGTTGACACTCCCCCTTCCTCTTCAGAAAACACCTCTGCTGCCATTCTCTGTTGCTCAGCCAGAAGTTGCTGAAGTTCCTCTGTAGAAAATTCTTGTGTTCCTCCACCAGTTCCTCAACATCACCACTGTCTACCTGCCTATGGACTCTGCTGTAGTGACGTCAACAACCACAGGGTCAGTTGAAGGCTCAAGCTCTACTACACAGCCTTCAAAGTCTTTCTTGTATAATTTTAGGCCACACTTTTTCCAGGCAGATCTCAGTGTCCTTAGAGACATTAGCCTAGGATATCTCAACCCTACACAAGAAAGACCAGCATTTGGGTAGTAACTCAAGACTTTGATTATAAGTTAAAACTAAAATTCCAGTTGTAACTCAAGCTGTTCGTATGTCAGGCCAGGCATAATGGCACATGCCTGTAATCTCAGCACTTTGAGAGGCTCAGGCAGAAGGCAACTTAGCAAGGATTTGTCCTAAGACAAAAAAAGTACTTAGGAGACTCCTGAGTTCAATTCCCAGTACCACACATACACTTTACCAAAAAATGTCTTAGCAGTCATGTTGTGTCAAGTATAAAATGTAGGTCTAAAATGAAAAAAAAAAAAAAAATGGAGGTCTACTCAGTGAAGTTGGAGGACAGTGACTGACCCACTATGACACATCCAGATCAAGAGCAGTATACACCCCAGGCTCCTATGCACATCTGGCTCTGGCATCATTCTCAGCTCTCCCGAATGCAATATACAACAGTTGTGTTGTGGCCCTCACAATCAGGACACAAACAGAACCATACAGAGAGCAGTAGTTTACAGAGTTTGGCTTTATTTTGCAGTACAGAAATCATTTGGAGCCATTTTGAGACAGACATCATTAAAGTAGAGGCTCTGTCAAATCAATACTGCATTGCAGCTTGGTCCATTGAAGAAGCCACACCTGGGATACAAAAGATGCTTCTACATTTTACCTGCTTTATAGATAAGTTCCTTTCCCCTTCTCTCAGTTTTCCTAGGTTAAAACAATACATACTGGCTTTCTCCAAACACTCCCTTAGTATAGAGTTGGTTAGAAATACATGTCCACATGAACCAAACTTGTGGTTATACTATTTGGGCCCTGCCCATCATTATTTGATTATAACACAAAATACATATAGGGAAAACTTAAGGATGCTGTCCTAAAGTAAGGAATATTCAATTTAAAATCTCACTAATAATGTCAAGATGGCACACATTATATGGACCCAGCTCTTGAGCAGCAGAAACACAAAACTGCAAAGTCTACACTGATTTAAAAGATACAAATACTGTATCAAGTTCTCTGAATTGGTATCACAACCTTTTTAAAACTGTTCCTTCACTAGAAAAAAGCCAGCTTGGTTAAACTGCACCGGTAACCCGTCAATCTGAATAGCCAATCCATGAAAAGTTAATACATAAGATTAGAAAGATGAAGGGGAGTATTCACTGGTACAGCACTCTTCAATCTCCATTGTGATTACAAAAGCAGGCCTTACAATATTGATTTCATACAATATGTATTATTTGCCAAATTTTTAATTTGTCCCAATTAGATATTAACATGTACTGCTGTTAGTCTTCTCCATAGATGTCATTTTTCTTGCGCTTCATTTCCTCAAAGTCAAACTCAGATCCTGTCATCCTTTTATAGATGTCTTTAATGTCATCACAGGTTGTCTCAAAGTGAGTTGTAGCATCATATGCACGGGAAATAAAGATCTAGGAAGAAAGATTGCAAAGACTTAAGGCTATTTAGAGATGTTTCTCAATAAAGCTCAATAATGTTCTTTTCAGATTCACCACACTTACCTGGCTGTCTGTTCCCAAGTCCCTTGGTACGAGGAGGTCACTGATGCTAACAAATCTAGAGGGAGAAAAAGAATTAGATTGGCAAGTGAGCCCCACACTCAGTCACTGCTTTGCCTGAAGTTCTATGCTCCAAGGCTAAGACTAGTACCAGCAGTGTTATGGTTTAGATCAAGAATGACCCCAAAATCTCATGTGCTTACTCAGAGGTAGGGCTTTTGGAAGATGACTGGATCATGGAGGAGCTACAGCTGACTTGCTGCTAGGAGGTGACACCTAAGTAAGGTGGGTCACTACAGGTGTGACCTGAAAGGGTGTATCTCCTACTTTCTAAAAGGCCACTATGACATGAGCAGCTTTCCTCCACCCAGGCCCTTCCAGCATGTTATGCCTTGGAGCCAGCCTACTATGGATGGAAACCTCTAAAAACCATGAGCCCAAATAAACCTCTCCACCTTTAAGTTTCAGGTGTCAAGAATTGTGTCCCAGCGATGAGGAAAGTGACTAAAACAAGTAGAGATAAGACACTGTAAGGACATTCACACAGGAGCCAAAAAATACCTTCTTGGTCCTCATATGCACCCCATCACAGAGCCACAATCAAGACCTGAGTTTACATTTTAGTCAACATTATTAAATGAATACAACACTCACTTCTGTTCAATTGGTTCTAAGAGCTCCAAAGCTGGTCTGATTTCTTTCTCAGGTTCCTTGGTTTCCACAGTTGTACTAACAATAGCAATGTACTTCCCTTGTGCTGCCACATTGTGTGCAGAGGAGATCATGCAAACATAGATATCTAGAAGCAAGTAACAGTTCACAGCCTAGAGTTTATAAACAAGGGAAATAGGTGCACTCACATTTCACCATGTTTCATTGAGTTGTTAATGTTACCTGAAATAGGCAAGATCTTCTAAGCTAAAGTTCTATATGGAGGCAAGGGTCATGGAAATGTAAACATTTAATAACTGAAATTTCTTTTAACCTATTAGAGATTAAGGATTTATGTGGCTGTGAACTGAATGAAATCTCTTCCCAGCTGTGATAACTCACTGAAAAATCTAGCGAACCATATTAACATTTGGATTTTCTTCCACCGTGGACCTTGCATTTGGAAAAGTTTTAAACAGCAAAGATAAGGCTATATAAAAAGTTGATTTTCTCATTTATTAAAGCATCAGCAAAAACTTTTTGAATTATAATAAACTGATATAATTCCTGATATGGACTTGGTCTGTATACCACTAAGAACATAATTTCAAATACAAAAAAATAATTACTGGACCCTTTTTTTAGATTTTCATAGACGTGGGACCTGCTTGGGAACCAGTGAAAGATTAAGTCTGCATCTCTCTGTTCATTATCACTTCATTAAAAAAAAATTATGTAGATAGCTCTTAACTGTTTAAAAGCTGATAATCCCTTTTAAATTAAATTTTAGCTAAAGATGGGAACATAATGGTTGAAAACTAGTTAAAGCAAGCAAATTAGAGGAGTTGCAGTTTTAGGGCCAAGAACTGATCTAAATCATAGAAGTGAATATTGTTTTCTAGCACATTCCTAAAATCAAAGAATTAACTTCATAAGTAATGTTAATAGAAGCAGCTATATATGCTGTCAGCTCGAAAATAAAATGGAATTGGTTTATCTAATAAACATTAATCTCCACAGTTCACCTGCTATCACAGTATATTCACTATAATGAGGGGGAAACCGATGTTCAAAGTGATGGAAGCCAAGTCCAAAACAGGGTTCCCAGTCCATTTAAATACAATGCTGCAGGGTGCTTGCTTCTAGGTGCCAGAAGGACCCATATTTTGTTTCCCAAAAACTAAAGTCTTTTCACTATGAGACTGCATGTAAAGTTAGGAATTTGGGGTGGAATGAACCAATTTAACAAAATTACACTAACATGCTGCTCTTCAAAACTCACCTGATTTTCGATTGACTTGGTTCTGTGGAATAATTATCTGACAGGAATTGGCATCATTGGTATTCTTGATGGGGTGGCTGAGGATGCATATAACTCTAATTACCTGGCCCACTTTTTCTACCCGATCTTTTACATAACTTGGGTCACAGATGAGCTGCTTACAGCGAGCAATCTGTAATGAAACGTATAAAGACTTAAAGACACGCATATATGGAAATACATTCCATGGTCATGGATTAAAAGCCAACAGTGTTAAACTAAATGCACCCAAAAGTTTATATGGAATAATAAGGGACTGAATTAGGGAATAGCCAAAACAATCTTGAAAGAGCAGGAGGACTCATTAAGTAATCAACAGACAGGATACTAGCATAAAGACCACTAGAACAGAAAAGAAAATCCAAAGATAAACCCTCACATTTACAGTCAAATGATATCTGACAAAGATGCTAAGATCAATCTGGGAAAAGGACAATCTTTTCAACAAATAGTGCTGGGCAAATTGTTATTCACATGTAAAAGAATGAAGTCATACCTAACACCATATACAAAAAAATGTGAATGGGTCAAAAGAACTAAAACCCTCAGAAGAAAACGGGGGGCAAAAATTTCCTGTCACTGGATTTGTTCTGACTTCATACACATCAAAGCCACAGCCAACAAAAACAACTGACAAATTGAGCTCAAGAAACACTACCAAAAGTGTAAGAGTGCAGCACACAGAATGGGAGAAAATATCTGAAAATAATGTATCTCTATGGGATATTAATTCAGTGTATCAAGGACTAAACCTCAAAGAAAACTGACCAGATTCAAAGCTGAGCAAAGGATTTAAACAAACTTTTCTCCAAGAAGATATACAAATGGCCAACAGCACATAAAAATATGCTCAACATCACATCAGCAAAATGTAAATCAATGCACTACAATGAGATAACCCCTCATACCCTTTAGGATGCTTACTATAAACAAAACAAAATTAATGTTGGCAAGGACATAGAGAAACTGTGTACCACTGATGGGAATGAAAAACGGTATAGCCGCTGTCAAAAATGTTTCTCAAAAAATTAAAAACAGAATTATACTTCCAAGTATATAACCTAGAAACAAAGTAGAGTCTTAAAGGTTATTTATTCATGTACCAATCTTATAGCACAGCATTATTCTTAACAGCTAAAATGGAGAAACAGCCCAATTGTCCATTGATAGTATAAGTGGATATGCAAAATGTGGTTTATACTTACAGAGGAATATTTATTCAGCCTTAAAAAGGAAGGAAATTCTGACATGCTACTTACACAGATAAACCTTGAAGATGTGCTAAGTGAAATAACCTATTCACAAAAAGATAAATAAGATATAATTCTACTTACATCAAATACTTAAAAGCAGTCAAAATCATAGAGGCAGAAAATAGAATGATGGTGGCAGGGACTGGGAGGAAGACAATGGAGTTACTAAAAAGAGCTCAGTTTTATGAAAAAGTTCTAGAGATGTATGGTGGTGATAGCTGTGCATTAGGAATGTATTTAAAACCAATGAACATACAGTTAAAATGGTTAAGATGATAACCATTAATTAAGGGGGTAATGACAGTGTTTATATTGGGCTAGAGATATCTCTAAGTGATAGAACACTTGCCTAGCATCTGCAAGGCCCTAGGGTCAAACCCCAACGCTGAAAAGAAAAAAAAAAAGTAATGCAATTTTCCCTTCAATAGGATTTCAAAAAAGAGGGCTGGGGATATAGCTCAGTACCACATACACACAAAAACAATCCATATAGCCCAAAATAATTGTGCTGAAATCAAGGGTAATGATAAATCTACAACATTAATAAGGGTACAGATAGCCAACCAGTATCACTAGGAATAGGAAAATAATTTTTAAACTTAACTTTTTGAGTCTTTTTGGAGCAGTTCTATCTGTAAGCACTGGTATTTCATGACTTATTTTTTCTTAGTCTTCCAAGAAAAAAACAGTATTTTATGTGTCCACTGGGCTATTTATAAATCTAATATACACAGTGGAATCTTAATGATGACATTTGTCCTGTCTTAAACCATTTGGCCATTTCATCATCCTAGGAATTAAATAATAAAAGAATGAGGGAACCAACTAGAAGGACGAAGCACCAAATAAAATGTCATCCATTTTCTGATTGCATTGTAAAGCATTCCCTCTTCTTACACATATATAAAATCTGATCTCAAATCTTCATTTCTGATGCAAACTAACTAAAAATATATAACCTCCAGGAGGCTCCTATGCTCCCACTCAGCTCAAGCTTTTAACTTTTAGTATTTCAGGCATAAATACCTACAGAACTGTTAAGGACAGTAATTGAAATGACAGAAAAATTCAGTTGTATAGTGATAAAGGGAAAGAACAAGGAATGTTTTTTAATAACAGACATCATTGGTATCATCACCTAAGGACAAAGCTTGGAATCAGAACTGCACTGTATATGATTCAAATCTGAGAAACACAGCTCAGAACTCCAACCTATGAGTCACCCAAGAAATTGTAAGTTATACAACTAAAGCTAAATTTAAATAAAAATTTGAGGACAGGCACCAACCCACACTATTTAAATTATGGAATACGTATCATTTAAAAGACATCAGTAATGTATATTTTAGACCTAAGAGAAGTAATAACTGACATAAAAGAAAATTAAGATCTTTGGTTTTTTAAAAAATAAAGCACAGCAACCATACCATACCTTTGTTATGATGAACGCAAACTTACCATAAGGAAATCACAGTCTAAAATATATCACCAATGTCCACACCATAAAAGTACTTTCTTCACAAGAATATAATATTTTTAAACTGTAAAAGTTACTTACCTCTCCTTCAGATTTTACACCAACCACTTTTCCATTCTGCACAATTATTTCTTCAATTGGTTTATTCAGCATGTAGGTACCACCATAAATAGCACTTAGCCTAGAAAATTTTTAAAATTTCAATCATAATATATTAACTTTCAATTGTTAGTCTCCCTCCTTAGAGTTAAATTAATTATATGCTTGCTCGCTCGCTCGCTCTCTATATATAATTACACAGCTTCCTTGTAAAGGATGTTAGCTTATGTCATTATAAAGTACTAAATGGAAGAGTAAAAAACATGACTTGACATCCCATACTCACAGTTAAGAATACAAAGTTAAAAACAGCACTGACCAGTAATGGAGAAATTACTTATATCAACTGGCCTAATCCTCTTTATATAAATAAAACTTTGGACATAAAAGCAATCTCCTAACTGGATGTGGTGACACATTCCTATGATCCCAGCTACTCAGGAGACTGAGGTAGGAGGATGACAAGTTCAAGGCCAGCCTGGGCAATTTAGGGAGACCCTGTCTTAAAAGGGGATAGGGATGCAGCTCAATGGTAGAGCACTTGCCTAGCATGTGCAAAGCCCTAGGTTCAATCCTCACTACTAGGGAAGGGGGAAGTATTATCAGGAGGCACTGGTGAATACCTAAAGCAGGCAGAAAAAGAAGACATGGCTCAAAGGGAAGCAACTGGTTGAGATCTTTACATGATATAAATGGTTTTTCCCAGGGGAACTACTTAGTCTTTGTAACTTGGGAGAGCTAGAAGAGAAGCAGAAAATGTATGATCTTACAGATTTGAGGAACTGTAAGAATTTGGGGCTGCCAAAAGATAAAAATTGTAGAAGAAAACAGTACAAAAGGAAGAGTCGCAAAAGAAAGGTTCTGACAAATCTGTGATAAAATATCAAATCTTAACTATCTCAAAAAATGCTTGTACATGAGCTAAAATCCAAGGAATCTAGCAAACTCAACAGTTTTAAAGGGTAGAAGCGGGAAGCCGAAAATTATTACTGCTGGCCTCAGGAAAAACAAGTTTGAAGTTTAAAATCATCATGTTGGAGACTGGTGATCCCAGAGAGACCACAGCTTAGTACTTAACTACTCAACCAAACTAAAAAAGATCCTCTCTAACAACGTATAAAATCAAGCTTCCACAAGTTCAAGGTTAACACCCAATAATTTAACTACCGGCTTGAGCAAAAAAAAAAATCAACTTTTCAGAGGAAGAATTCAACATCTCTACCAATCCATATGCCCTGTATATGTATTCAATCCAAAATTACTAGACATGTGAAAAAACAGGCGTGTGATACAGAATAAACATAAAAATCAATCAATAAATGCCCAGGTTACCTAGATGTTTAAATATACGAGAGCTAAAAGGCAGCTATTTTACATATATTCAATGGTATGTTTAATGACAGATATTCTTTTTTTCCCCCAGTACTGGGGATCGAACTCAGGACCTTGTGCTTGCGAGGCAGGCGTGGTGCCACTGAACTAAATCCCCAGCCCTCAGATATTCTTATTATAAATACACTTAAGAGTGTCAAATTGAGTTTAACAGAATTGTATAAAAGTAAAAACTATAAAAAACTGGAAATTCTAGATCTAAAATATAAGAAAGTCATTGGATGATGTTAACAGCCTATAGAAAATAGCAGAAAAAGACAATGAACTTGAAGACAAATGAACAGGCATTATTCAATATGAAGCAATGAGAGAAAAAGACAAAAGAAAAAAATATAAACAGAACCTCAGTAACTTAAAGAATAACATCAACATAGAAGTGACTAGTGTTCTAGGAAGACTGGGGAAAGAGAACCAAATAAATGAAGAAATGACTTTTAAATTCTCCATTTAACATAAAAAGTGTCAGAAGTAACTTCAATCTACAATCAGGTCAGTAACCATTCCCCCCAAAAGAACACCAGGCAAATCCTAGTGAAAATACCATACCAAAGAATATCATGAAAGCCTAGACACAGCCAGGAGAAAAACACACTATACATATAGAAATTATTGATACAAATGACAGCTAACTTACTCTGAAAACTCAAAGGAGGCACAAGTGAAAGGAAAAGCAGCTTCAAAGTATTAAAAGAAAACAATTTCCAGCCACCAAAAGTTCTTCAAAAGTGAAAGTGAAACATTTTCAGATAAACGCAAGCTGAGAGAAATCATTACCACCAGACCTATATTGTAGAACACAGAAGAGAAGCTGAAGAAAAATGACACAAGATGTAAATAAGAACTTACAAGGAGAAACACAGAGCAACAAAAATGGTACATATGTGAATAAATATTAACAGCTGCTTTTCTTTTCTTTTCTTTTTATTAGTTCTGAGAATTGAAACCCAGTCTCCTGCATGCTAGGCAAGTACTCTACCACTGAACTACTTTACTCCCCCGGGCCTCCTTCTGTTCATTTCTTTAAACTGTTTAATGTAAAAAAAAAAAAAATAATAATAATAATTATAAGACTAATGGTATTAACAGTTTTGATATGGAATTGTGGGACTTTATAAAATATGGAAATGTAAAATGTACACAATAGCACAAAGGAAAATGGCAAATAGAGTAAGTATTGCAAAATTCTTATACAGTATTTTATGTAAAATAGTACAATATTAACTCTAAATTAAACTGATGAAAAATACTCTAGGATAAGTGCTAAAAGATTTTAAAGAACAAAAATGTGTAAAAAGCCATTACAGGAATTAAGATGGAATATCAGAAGATAATCCAAAAAGAGAAAGAGCAGTGAGCGTAGAGGAGGAATAGCAAAAATAACAGATTAATCTCAACCATATGGTAACTGTGATAAATAAACTGTTATCAAATATTCCAAAAAGCCAACATTTGTCACAGTGGGTGAAAAAGCAAGATTCAATTATATGCTGTCTTCAAGAGACTTATTTTAAAGGTGAGGCACAATGGAACATTCATGTAATCCCAGCACTCAGGATGCTGAGGCAGGATTGCCATGAGTTCAAGGTCAGCCTGGGCTAGAAAGTGAGTTCAAGGCTAGAGTGGACCATGTAGTAAGGCACTGTCTCAAAATAAATAAATACACTGAAAATCTCACAGGGCATGGTGGCACACACCTATAGTCCCATCACTTGGAAGGCTGAGGCAGATGGATTGCTGTGAGTTCGAGGCCAGCCTGGACTACATAGTAAGTTCAAGGCCAACCTGAACTACACAGGAAGACCCTGTCTCATGAGAAGAGAAGAGAATCTCATCTCTATCACCTACCTTTATAGACTACTCCACCCAACATACACAGAATACACATTCAGTTCAATGGCATGCATATTCACTAAGATCATATATTAAGCCAAAAATTATATGACTTAATTCTAATGATTGTAAGATTGCCCCTTGATCATAATGGAATTAAGATACTAGTAACAATACAATATTTAGAAAAATCCCCAAATGTTTAGAAATTAATATCCTTCCAAATAATCCAAGGATCAAAGAAAAAAATCACAAAAAAGGTACTAACCATAATGGACAGCACAAATTTACAGGGAAACTAAACCTTTACATAATTATATTACATAAGTACAAAATCAACTGCATTTCAACCTTAAAAAGCCTTAAAAAAAGGCAATTTAAACTGAAATAGAAATTAAGGAAAAACAGAATGAAAGGTAGAAAGAAAAGCAGTCAAGCTAAAATATTGGTACTTTGAAAAGATAAATGAAATTAATTGGATCCTAGCAAGAGAACACAGAAAATACAAATTACCAATCTCAAGAATGGGAATATCATATCTGATCTTAACCTCATCAAAAGTGTAATAGAAATATTGAGTATAATTTCATATCAATAAATTCAAGAACTTATTTGAAATTAAATTCTATGAAAACTGCCACAAGAAATAGTATGTGTGAAGAATCTTGTTTCTGTTTAAAAAAAATTAACTTGCTGCAAAGAAAGTCTAGGCCCAATGGATTCAGTAATATACTTTATGAAACATTTAAGAAAAATGAACAAAAATCTCTACAAACTTCCAAAAAACAAAAGAGATACTTCCAATTCATTTTATAAGATTACCAAGGCTTAATACAAAAAGACACTACGGGAATTATTAAACCAATGTCCATCATAAATGGAGACACAAAAATCCATCTATACACATAAAAAATACAAACTAAATCTGACAATAAGAAAATACATCATGAATGAGGTGCTTATTCTGGCAATATAAGGATATTTTAATGTTAAAAAGTCAACTATGTAATTCACTACATTAACAAGAGACAAGAAAATTTGCATGATTAACTTACTGTCCCAATAAAAAATCTCTCAGCACACTGAATAGAACTGAATGAATTTAATGTAACAAAACTACCAGAAAACTATGAAAAACGTATTTAATAGTTAAAAACTTAATACTTTCTCCCTAAGGCTGGGAACAAAGTAAGAATGCCCATCCTTACCACTTCAACATTCTTTTGGAAATCCTAGGCAGTTCAATAAACACCTAAAGATTATAAGGGAAGATTCCAATCTTGCCATTCACACATTACATGACTATGCACATGAAAAATTCTAAGAATAAGAGAACTAGTAGAATAAGCACAATGTCACAAGATACAAGGTTAACATACATAAATCAATTGTATTTTTTTTAATATATTGTTATATGTTTGTGATACACAGTAATAACATTCATCTTGAGGAACTGGCACATATACAAACCAAGTATCACATCTTAATCTTTTTTACTTCCCTTTCCTCTCCTTATCTTCCCCTCTCCCTCCAAATTCTATTTCTATTACTTATTACAGTAAAAGATGCATTGCCAAGAATGATTGGAAAAGTACATTTGAAGCGAGGGGTAGTATTTTGAGAATTAAGGACAATGCCTTATTACAATAAATGTGTTAAACATTCATCATATTTTTGATCATCTCTCACACATAAAGAGCACAGCACATTCATGGATCAGAACACTATTATTATAATGGAAATTTCCCCAAAACTGATTGAAAAATTTAACTCAATCCCAATCAAAATTACAGCAACCATTTTTCTAGAAATTGACAACCTGATTCTAAATATATATGGAAATGTAAAGGACTTACAACAGTCAAATTTGAAAGAGAACCTAACTGAGAACCTAAGGAGAAGTTGTATCACCTAATTCCAAGACCTACAACAAAACTATTAATAATCTAGCATAGGAAATATAAACAAATCATTGGAATGAAAGTGGGTTCCAGAGAAGATAATGTCTACCTTATTTCCCCACAAGACTTATCTAGAAAAGAATGTATTTTCTACTAATGCTGCTAGAACAACTAAATACTAGAATGGTAGACAATGGAGAGAATCTCAAGCCCTACATACACCAACATTAGTTCAGAATGAATCATATATTTAAATACAAAGGTACAACTCTAAAGCTTCTAGAAAAAGACAAGAGAGTATCTTTGTACCTTTAAGGTAAGCAAATATTTCTTAGATAAGATCCCAAAGCATTAAGCATAAAAATATAATTTTGATATATTGAACTTTATCAAAATGTATTAACTTCTTATGTAAAGATAAGCCACAGACTGGGAAAAAAATATTTGTAATTCATATATCTGACAAATGACTTGACACCATAATACATCAAATTCTTCCACAAACCAAACACAAAAAGACAACCCAAATCTTTAGCAATGTGAAAAAAGACAGTCACAGCACAAAACTGTACAAATGGGCAACAAGCTCATGCAAAGTGGACAATATTAATCCTCAAGAAATGCAAATTAAAACCATAGTAATATGACATTTCACAACCATGTGGGTAGCTAAAACTGAAACTGCTTCTTATTGAAGATCTTTGTTGTACTGTACATAAATTTTAATAAAATTAATGGCATCTTATCACTCACAGGCATATCTCATCTCAGTCAAACCACAGCTTATGTGCCTTTGTTGAAGATGAAGCTCAGGATCAGTAAAGTTTCAGCTAACAGATTAAATGTATGCTCTTACCTTGCAAATCCTTGTGGCAGTTCTCCAAGGCCATAAAGTGGATAAAGGTATGGGCTTTTGCCATATCTTGCCAAAGACTCACTGTAAAGTTTAATTCTATCAATGGTCTCACAACATGGCTGATCTAAGTAGCTGGAAAAAAGGAAATGCATGTTTTTAAAAGGGTGTTAGTTTTCTTTCTTGTTCAATCAAAAATCATTTTCTGTAGTGATTTCAGTCTACTACCTTCTTATTCACTTAAAAGACTCTAACATTAATTTGAAACTAGAACCTCATTTTTCATGGTACAACATGGCTATATTATTTATTCTGTCAGAATTTCCACTTTGGAAAACTGGGAAACTCAGAGTTCCAAGAAAAATACAAATCTAAAAATATAAAAAACTTACTCATCAGTTCGGTATAATGCAAGAGAATGACCAGTAAAATCTATAACATCTTGGCCCAGGTCAAATTTCTTATATAGATCTCGCATTGTGGTCTTCTTAGGATCAGCGCCCTCAAAAGTTCTAGGATCTTTTTCATCAAAGTTGGCAACATACACTAGGAACTTTCTGAAGCGACGTTTTTCAAACAGTCCCATTAAGCCTACAGAAGAATTTTTCAAAAAGCACACATTTACAATAAGTCAACAAGGAAAAATGTATGGGAAGAAAGTTTATGCATGTCATCAAACTAGGCTCCTCTGATGAAAGTGTAAGATGTGGAAACTGACAGTGCAGCTTCCAGTTTTATAAGACTAAAATAAACCCACACAATTAAAACAGGTCAGTTATAAGATCTTCGATTTTACCTTACAATTACAAGTAGTTATAACCAGTACTTACTTAAATATAAGTTGAATTAGTCTCTTATTGGATACAAAGTAAACATGACTGAGAAAAATTATCTATGAAAACATTAATCTCAAAATTCCTCCTTTGACAACTCTGATCTACACTCAGCCAAATGCCTAAAATTCTGAATATTCTTCTTTTCCTCTTCTGAATACACTAAGATATACTGTGGCATATAATGAGAAAAGAAGCTGAAGATATCAAGAACAAATTAACCACAACAAAACTTGAATGTTGACTGTGCTGTTGATCACTTACTTGAATGAAGTCTTAGATAGCCAGTTCAATGCTTTTTACACTAAATACAGATGAACAGACTACTGTAAACTTCCACCTAAAATGCCCACCTCTTCCTATTTAATCAACAGTCCTACTAGTAGGTTATAGCTGGTAGAAAGATAATGAAAAGGAAAATTTTCTGATTTTATCTCCCTTCTCCTCCTCTCCTAAACTGTGCATAACATTAAAATTCACTGATAAATCCCCAACTGCCTAGAAAAGTGTCTGGCACATAAGACACTCAATAAATATTAGTTGACCAGATAGATAGATTTCTGAGATTCCTTTCTGCTATAAAATCTGTTATTCTGAAAAAAATAAAATTACTTACTAGATGCCAGGGCTTCTGCTTCAGTAGAAGGAACTTTGTAGATTTTTCCTCCCTTATAGACAAAACTCCCTTCGATCACTTTGAAATCCATGTATCGAGTAACTTCTGTATACAGCAGCATCTTAACCAGCTGACCTAGAAAAGTCACATAATTCAAACCATAACTTAAATCTTACTGCCACTGGCTGGCCATGGTAGCACAAACGAGTGCTGTAATTCCAACACTCAGGAAGCTGAGGCAGTATTGCTGCGAGTTCGAGGCCAGCCTGGGCTACACAGTGAGTTCAAGGCCAGCCTAAATTACAAAGTGAAACCCTCTCTTCAAAAAAAGAATCTTAGAAACATTAAAAACATTGCAAAACTAAGGCCAGGCATGGCAGCACATGCTGTAATCCTAGGAGGTTGAGTTGGGAGGATTGCAAATTTGAGGTCAGCCCGACCAATTTAGTGAGACTCTGTCTCAAAATTAAAAAAAGAAAAAATTAGAACAGCTGAGGATACAGCTTAACAGTCCTTGAATTCAATCCCCAGTACCACAAAAATAAATGTGCATTTACTGCCACTAATGGCTACCCAATTCTTCAACATGGTCCAACAATTACAAAAAAACACTCTCTAAAAGCTTTTTAAAAATGTACAAACAGAATGGATACTTACTGTATATTCAGAAGTATTTTTAATGTTACAACTTCAAGATTAATAATTCTTAACTTGCTTTGCAGAAGCTGTGAAACACTTATTAGAAGCTCATTAGAGGTTGAGAATTATAGTAGTATTGCTAATGGATTTAGGCTGCTTTATGGTTGCTATTGTATTTCAAAGAGAGCCAACTCAAAAATATGTTTCCAAGTCAATTTATATTTACCAAAGTGAACGCCAACATCAGATAAAGAGCTAGGCTTGCAATTAGAACTATTATCTACATATAAGCCCAAGAATTCTCATACCCCAAAAGTAGCAAACTCTTGTGAAATGAAAATTAGCTTAAAGCTGATTGGAAAGGATACACAGGACAAGGTAGTTAAACATTTAAGAATTCTTTTGACAACAAGGAATACAGCAATGAGGAGAGATTTATATAGTTAGATGTTAATGCACTTGTATATTACCTAGTTAAATGAATTAGTTCCCAAATTAGAGGAAAACAATATACTCATGTACAAAAATTTAATTTATAAAAACTCAATATATGAAAAAAAGTTTGAGTCAAAATGGAAAAGATAAATAAGTGGTGATGAGGGACAAGTGACTGGCCATTTTGAAAAAATGAATTTCAATCTCTACTTTTCAACCAATAATAAGATAAAGTAGATGAATTTCATCTGCTTATATGATAAAATGAACAAGTTTATATGGCAAAAAAATGAAACAGTAAAGTCAAAAAAGCAAATATTAGTGCCCCCACTATGTGCTGGGGATCAAACCCAAGACCACGCACGTGAGGCAAGTGCTCTCTGCACTGAACAGCACTCCAGCCCTGCAAACATTAGTACTCTTATAACCCTGAGGTAGAGAGAAATTTTCTAAGCATACAAAGGAAAAAAGATCAACCAATATGGTATGAAAATTAAAAGCATTTTGCACAGAA